ATTTCATTATTCTTTGCAGATGAAAATACTTCATATTGTGTGTATCTATAAATTAATTTATCCATTCATTTGTTGATGGGCAGTTAATCTAATTCCATATCTTAGCCATCGTGATTAGTGTTTTTGATAAGTACGGGTATGCAGGTATCCTTTTTGTTTGGTGACTTTATTTCCTTTGGATATAGAACCTGGAGTCATACAGCTGGGTCATATGGTACTCTACATGCTGTTCTCCATAGTAGTTGTAGTAACTGTCTTTTTGTCCTGTCATCTTATTGACTTCTTCTGCATAATCCCTTATTTTCTTTTGTGCTTTTTTGTTGTACATCTTTGTTTCATTTTGGTGTCTTGTACTAATAAAGTTTGTTACCTATTTTTCTCTTGTGTATCTGCTCCTTTTGTCTTCCTCTTACATTGTTCCAGTTTGTTTGTTGTTTTTTTTTTTTTTTGTCTTTTTGGTTTTTTAGTTTTTGCTTTCCTTTTTTAGATGGGGCTGCCATGTGTAGCCCAGGCTGATATTGAACTTGCTCTGTAGCTCAGTCTGTCCTCAAAATCATAGTACTTCTACTTCGCCTCAGATATGCTTAGATTTTAAGAGTATCTCTCCATTGCTGGAGAGGATGTGGACAGAAAGGAACCTTACTTCATTGTTGGTGGGAATGTAAACTTGTTCAACCACTTTGGAAAGCAGTATGGAGGTTCCTCAGAAGACTTCACATAGAGCTCCCCTATGACCCAGCAATCCCACTTTTGGGCATTTACCCTAATGTTTACAAACAAGACCACACTAAAGCTACCAGCACAACGATGTTTATTGCAGCATTATTTACCATAGCTAAGATATGGAACCAACCCAGATGCCCCTCAGTAGATGAATGGATCAAGAAAATGTGGTATATATACACAATGGAATTCTATGCCTCCATCAGAAAGAATGACATTGCCCCATTTGTTAGGAAATGGAAAAACTTGGAAAAAATTATATTAAGTGAAGTAAGCCAGGCCCAAAGAAACGTAGGTCCCATGGTTTCCCTTATTTGTAATATCTAGTATATGTATGAGTCAAGCGGAAAAGGTCAGATAATGTGATGTCAGGAAAATGAACCCTTAGATGTGTATTTTAATGTTTTTTTTCTTTCATGCATGTGTTTCTAACACATTTATAAGATTATCTCTTTGTTGCTTTGTATGTCCCTCCCCCACAGTATAACCCCTGCTTTCACTATATTTGATGTCAGTATAACTTGTGGAGGAGATGGGGAAAAACCAGTTGTTTAAGGATACAGGTGGACCTGTTGCAACAATGAGAAGTACAAGTTGTCATGTCCAAAACCAGCTTTACAACGTCGGTGCAGGGGGGGGAGGGAAGGAGAAGGATTGGGATTAGGGGGGGAGCGAGGAGGCTGGGAAGGGATGTGAAGGGTAAACAAAGGAGGAGGCTGCAATGCTTGGTAAGAAATGTACGCATTATCCTGCCCATGTAACTGTAACTCCTCTGTACAGTATGTTCACAAATAAAATTAAATTAAATTAAAAAAAAAAAAAGAGTATCTCTCCATAGATGGCTCTTTATGTATTTTCATGTTAGAAGGTTCTTCCTTTTGATTCAGGACAGAACTTTCATTTTTTTGTGAAGTTTCAACTCCCTCAGTTTTGGCTTTTCTTGGAAGGACTTTAGAGTTTCTTATTTATGAGGATAGATGTGGGTATATTAGTCTTCATTGGTAGTTATTTCCTTTTAGGTCTTAGAATATAACCTCACTCCCTCCTAGACTATATAGTAGGTTACTCTTGCTGTTAGGCTAATGGGAATATCCTTAAGTTTGACTTTATGCTGTTCTCTTGCAGATTAATTAGAGCTCTCTATTTGTCTTCGCAAATTTTTAGCAGTTTAACTTTGCTTTGATGAACACCTTTTATGGTTATGTCTACATGGACTCCTATGGGCAGCCAAGACATAAATGTCTATATGTTTGCTGAACCCAGATACATCACCTATCATTTTATTGAAGAAAGTTACTATACCTTTTGCCTTATCCATCACCTTCAGGTACTTTAAAAGTAGATTTATTCATTTAGTGGTGCTATCCTTATTCTGTTGTCTTCTTTTTTTAATGTCTGACTGTGATATGTCAATGGACCTATTTATTTACTAAATAGGTCAAAGGACCTATTTAGTAAGTGTTATTCTAGCACTTACTTTGGTCAGTGGCTTATGTTCTCAGGTATATTTTTAATTTTACTTAATGAGTACTTCATATCTAAGCTTTTGTTGTTATTTTTCAGAGTATTATTTCTAAATTTTCATTTGTACCATAAATTGTTTCCCTAATTTCTTGGCAGTGTCTGTGTTACTTTGAATCTGTTCCTATGTAATCATTCTCTTGAGGTTTTGTTTTGTTTTGTTTTTTGTTTTTTTGTTTTTTTTGTCGGCCATGGGGCCTGAAATCTGGGCCTGGGCACTGTCCCTCAGCTCTTCAGTTCAAGGCTAGCACTCTACCACTTGAGCCACTTTGGCTTTTTCTGTTTATGTGGTGCTGAGGAAAGGATCCCAAGGCCTCATGCATACAAGGCAAACACTCTTCCACTGAGCCACCTTTCCAGCCCTTGAGTTTTTTGTTTTGTTTTGTTTTTGTTTTGGGTCCGGTTGTAGGGCCTGAACTCTGGGCCTTAGCACTATCCCTCAGTTCTTCAGCTCAAGGCGAGTGCTCTACCACTTGAGCCACAGCACCACTTCTGGCCTTTTTTTTTCTGCTTATGTGGTGCTGAGGTATCGAACCCAGGGCCTCATGTATGCAAGGCAAGCACTCTACCACTGAGCCACCTTCCCAGCCCGAGGTTTTTTTTTTTAAATCATGCTTTTCAACCACACTTTATTTATTAGAGCTACTGGGTTATTCTGGAGAGATCATAATTTCTTGTTTCATCATTTTTCTAGCATTTTCTAACATAGATGTTCAGATTTATGCATCTTTCAGATCAGTTAACTCTACCACTTTTATAATCTGACTTTTGTAGTAATTGATTTTCTTCAGAAGATGTATCTGGGGTATCACTTCTGTAAGCTATGTCCATGTTAGTTCTAGTTGAACACCACAGTTTAGTGTCCTATAACTTATTTGTCTGTCAATAGGGACTTGTGTTCAATAGTAGCAAGATGAGAGCGCATGTCTGTGGCCCAGAGTTGTAATTTTCAAACTTTTTTACACTGCTTTGGGGCTAAGTTTTAAACGTTCATAGTCAGAGTTCAGTTTTGTGACATTTTGTTTTCATAAGGCTTGCATCGTGATTTATTTAAATTCATGAGACATTTTAATAGATCAGGAAGATCAACTCTGAAAAAGACGGATTTCTGGAAACAGTGAATCATTGTCAGTAAATAGAATTTATGTTTTTAAGTATAAAATATTAACATCTATCACAATGACTTTGTAAAAATAAATACAAAACATGAGAGGTACATTTGAATAATGTGTACTAAATAATGATAGAGCTGGGAAGGTGGCTCAGTGGTAGAGTATTTGCCTCACATGCATGAGGCCCAGCGTTCTATTCCTCAGCACCACATAAGCAGAAAAAAACTGGAAGTGGTGCTGTGGCTCAAGTGGTAGAGCTCTAGCCTTGAGCTGAAGCGCTGAGGGACAGCACCCAGGCCCAGAGTTCAGCCCCCATGACTGACAAGAAATAAAAAAATAAAAAAAAATAATGGTACATCCACTTCAGATGTCCAAATCTCCTATTATCTATGTGGTAGATTTGGAGGCTAGGGTAATACAGAAGTTTAAAAATCAGCAGGATGAAGACAAAGAAACAAAAAGTCTGTAAGAGTCAACATGGAAAGATGAAAGCATGAATGTTTTTAACTGTTTGGCTGGGTATCGAGCCTCATGCTTCTACTTGCAGCTACTTATGAGGACCAGGGGCAGAAGAATGATAGGCAGTCTTAAAATAATCAGTGGAAAGCCAGGCACCAGTAGCTTACATCTATAATTCTAGCTACTCAGGAAGCTGAGATCTGAGGATTGTAGTTCAGAGCCAGCTGCAGCAGGAAAGTCTGTGGGACTCATCTCCAATAAACTACACAAGAAAAGTCAGAAATTGAGCTGTGGCTCAAGGGGTAGGACACTAACCTTCAGCAAAAAGCAGCTCAGGGAAAACACTCAGGCCTTGAGTTCAAGTCCCAGGACTGCTGCAAGTCCAAGTGTGCGCATGTGCATGCCTCACACCCCTCACAAAACTAGTTCAATAAAGAGCTGGAAGCACAGCTTAACAGTACAGTACTGCTTAACCAGCATAAGACCTTGTGCTTAGATGAGATTGGGCATGTTCAGGGTGGTATGGCCATAGACAAGCTCTTGTGTTCAAACCACAATATTAAAGTAGATAAACAAACAAAATATAAGTGTGTAGCTATTGCCTCAAAAATGAATGGGTTTCTAAGAAATATATACTTAAATAACATATATATTCATATTTCAGCAGTACTAAGGTTTAAATTAAGGGTCTTTTACTTGCACGGCAAATACTCCTTGAATCAGACCTCAGCCCTTTTACTTTAGCTATTTGTTTCAGATACAGCAGTATTTTTTTTGCCTGAGGCCAGTCTTAGACCTTGATTCTTCCTATCTAACAAGGGAGGGATTACAGAAGTACACCACCATGCCCAAATTGTTTACTAGATGGCATAACTCTGAACTGTGAGCCTCAATAAACTCTCCTTCAGAAAAAATTTTAAGCCTAAATTATTTACCATATTCTAATTAGAAGGATATATACATTTATACACATAACTCTAATCTTAGGAAAGTACAATTTTATTTTTTGTAGTTTAACAAACATTTTAATATTTTTGCCATATCTATATTTTTATTTTACATCTACACTTTCACTTTACCAAGACAGTTATAGTACAAATGAGACAGTATAAACAAAATCATACACTTTATCAATTAATTTATGAATTTGTATACTGTAATTTAAACCATTATTCACCCAATTTAATGATGTCTATATTTATTTTCATGAAATTATAGAGTCTCTGAAGATTCTAAACTTGATGAAATCCTCAATTTGGCAGGAAATGCTAAATGGATTAACTACCTAATCCAATAAGTGCTTGTTTTTAACCTTTGATTAAATGTCATAATAAACATCAATATTAAAAAAAATATTTAATCTTGCATGGTGACAGTTCACTGGCGCTTCACTCCAGCCTGGACACTGACCATGGAAAAATAGATGCCTTTCTGTGCCAGCAGCTGTTGGTGGGTGCCATACTCCTTGACTTTGCCATTCTGGATCACCACAATTAGATCTGCGTTCTGGATGGTGGACAGGCGGTGAGCGATCACAATGCACGTGCGGCCTTCTCTGGCTTTGTCCAGGGCTTCTTGCACAACCTGTCCCATGATCACACAAATTAATTCTCATAAAAGTGCTCTTCCTTGACATCTTCCACAGTAGCAATTTTCCTCACTGTCCTCTTTACTATGGTCTCAGTGAAACCTAACAGACTTCAGGAACCAGGTGATCTGTCTGCCAGAGGAAAGCTCAACCGTGATTTGCCTCACTTCTGAGATGCATTATTAAAGACACAGTAGTGTCATTCCCTTAAAACCATCCCACAGAGTGCCTTGTGATGTGACTGAGTAACCCAACTCCACAGCTCATTCAGGAAATCTGAGCAAAGGTGTGAAACATCTCACTATCATCGTCTGTCTTTCAGACAGCTGAATGAATAACATTTGCTTAAACACAGGAGCATGGTCAACATTGCTCTTATGTACAGACTTTGTCCTTGTCTGAACATCCCCCTTTCCACATGGTTTCTTTGAAATTCAGGTGCTCTGAATTTCAATTTGCCTTGTATCATCTTTGCTTACCTAAATAAAAGCTACAGAATGTGCATATATATCACTGAATACTGACATAAGCCAGTGTCAACTCCCCTAATTAAATTTTGTCTCTCCAGTGACAGAGGAAAGCATAATGTTACAGCTTTTAAGAACAATGGATCCAAGTATGAAGAACACCATTTAAATCCTTACCTTTTCACTTTCTGTATCTAGAGCTGATGTAGCTTCATCCAAAAGCAAAATATGAGGCTGCCTAACCAGGGCACGAGCTATGGCAATGCGCTGTTTCTGACCACCAGATAGCTGAGTTCCTTTATCTCCAACTCTGGTGTTGTATTTCTACAAGCAGGATTGTGTTTTTATGAGACAAAACATAATAAAGTTCAGACATACAATTTGCTCAAGGAAAATAAGAATGATTAGAAAATTTTAGGTTCAGAAGTTAATAGTGGATTCAAGGAGAATTAAAGAAAAATATGAAAATGCTTCATTTAATCTTTCTTTTGGCAAAGTGACACCAGAACTTTAAAATAATTTTATGTAAGGGATGGTAGAGGGAAAACAAAGGAGGAGGCAACAATGCTCAATAGGAAATGTACTCATTACCTTGCTCATGTAACTGTAACCCCTCTGTACAGCATTTTTACAATAAAAAAACCATTAAAAATAAAATAAAATAATTTTATGTCTTACTATAAATAGCCCAAATGTTTATCAGTAAGAATATTGTTGCAATGCTAGTATCTTCTATCCCATGGTGGCGTTATCCATTTAAAACAAGGACTGACCAGGAAAAGGTATTGGATCTGAACAGCTATCCATGATAACTGAAACTTGTCTTATTATAACTAGGAGTAACCACCCTCTCTGCATTTTTAAAGCAAGGATGAAAGGAAACTCTTTGGATGTTAGCTTTTACTGTCTTTGTTTTATGAAACTCTTTCTAACACGTATCTAATTTTAATGAATGCTAACAAATTCCAGATCTGTGACTGAAAACTGAAGTTCCTTATAAACGTTTGCTTTGTTTCATTTTTGAGCTTCTTTTCATATTCTCCCACATAGGTTCCTACTATAAACCATAGTCTCTACTCAAGAAGAATACAGAGGGCTGGGATGTAGCTCAGTGGCAAAGCGCTTGCCTAGCAAGTGCAACGTCCTGGGTTCGATCCCCAGTACCAAAAAAAAAAAAAAAAAAGACAAAAAAAAATACAGTTAAAAAAACAAACAAATAAACAAAAAAAAGAAGAATACAGATAAGAGTCTGAGGGTGGGACCAGACAGTGGAAATAGGAGGGAGCAGCCTGTACAATTAGAAAACTGTACTACCTTACTCTTTATAGGCCTTTGCCAGGTTGAAATGACAAACTTGGGCTCTGATCCTTCTATTTATGTTTGACTGTTAATTCCTGTTTGACATAGGACCTGCCTATATTCTTTTACTTTTCTGTTTTTGCTATATCTGGCAACTGCTCAGAATAAACTCTCCCCTTTATAGATGGCATGAGGGGACCCCTGGTGAGGCTTGGCAGATACGCAGATTCGTGAGCCTGGCTCCCCTGCACTGTGGCTGCCTCAAATGGCAGATGAGTATGTGGTTCTGGTAGGTGCAAAGTCTCCAGGTTGATGTGAAAACAGCACTGGGTGCGGCAGTAGGTGAGGGCAATATCCTGGAGCAAGAGGGACAGGAATCCAGCTTCTGCACAGTAAGTCAATCTTGGCACTGTGTACTCATATAAAAAATGATTTTTAGCCAGACAATACAACTTAGAGTGTCATCTAGCCCATTAAGAGGGAAAAGAAACTAAATGAATGCAGAAGAAATGTGAGTGACAGAGATTAATCACAAATCGAGAAAGACAGACTCCTTGCCCTAGACAGATTTATTTTACCTTAAAGAGCTAGATAATAGTTGATTTCTCTGTTTCTGCTGTGCAGCCTACATTGATATAACTGGGACTTTTAAACTTCAGACATCTTGATTTGAACATCCAAGTTTTTATGTAATGGGACTAGTGGGACATTTCTAACAAGCTTCCAGGTTATCCAAGTTTGAGAATCACTGACTTCTCAAAGCCATAGGGGAAAGAATTTTCTACTTTCAATGTTCAAAGTAGAGTTATTTATGTCAGGCTGAACTAGATTGTTGGAGAAGGGAAGGTGGGGCATAGGCTCCTCCCTGGGCCTGTGTGTGGGATAACTGTTATCTGCAGAAGAGACTTAGGAAGAGAAAAACTTTGGAAAGAGTCACCATGAGGCAACTTGCTTCCGTGTTAGTTTTAGGCTACTGAGCTTCAGTCTTAAAACCTTTCTTAAGAGAGACTGACAGGTTAAAGAGTAATTTATATTTTTAGAGAAACTGAGAGGAGATGCAAACAAACAGCTCAGATAAGATTTTGACAACCCTTCAGAATAGGGCTTGAGATTCACAATGGTTACAATGATTAAAAATTATGTAATACCATGATTGTCTCAATGGCACAGTCCCATTAAAACAGAGATGGCTTTCTGGCCTGGTCCAGCTGTCTGACCTTGCTGTACTCCACAGAGAGGCTTGAAGTTTGGAGAAGAGCTGAAAAGTAGCAGAAGGAAGAGAAGAGAGGACAGCAATGGGGAGGAAAGTCATGCAAGCCACATTGGCAGGACTGAAAGCATCAGGTCTACAGGTGGAGACTTAAATGCCACCTGCAGGGCCTCCCGTCCCTCACACTTATAATTGCTAGTGCCCAACTTCTTAAATCAAACCTCCAATGCTTATGACTTTAGTTGTTTTTTTGAGTAGGAACTCACACTTTTGGTCATGGGGAAAGCCAATGACTATAGTTATGTACCACAATAAGATTCTGTTTGCTGAGACAAAAGCCTCAGTAATATTTTTCTCCCTAACTGGCCTCAACCCATGATCTTCCTAATCTCTTCTTCCTGAGTGGCTGAGATTACAGGTGTAAGAAGGTATCCCAAATGCTTGCTGACTTGGGAGGGGGTGTTCAGTATGCTAATTTCTTTTACCATTGGCAAATTAGCCTTTTATGGTAGCTTTATTATACTGTGCTTATATGGTGCTTATCTATTCTGTTTGAAGCCCAAATATAAAAAAACATCAAAGGATAGATTGATAAGGTTGCTAAAGAGGATATTCAAGGCCAGAATGACATACATCAGGCAGCGAGTCAATGAACTGGTGTATGTTGGCCTCCTTGGCCGCCCTGATGATCTCATCCTGGGACACAGTCCGGCTGTTGTCTCCATAGGCGATGTTCTCAGCAATGCTGCAGTCAAACAGGATGGGCTCCTGTGACACAATGCCCAGGTGTGCTCGGAGCCACTGCACGTTCAGTTGCTTTATTTCCTTGCCATCCAGAAGCTACAAATAAGATATCAGAGATCAACTTTAGGGCTAGCACACTTTTGACTTAGTAAAATTAATATCATAATTTAATACTGCAAAATTGTCAAGTTATTGTGAGATTGAGGACATTTCATTTGTTTTACCTTAGATTGTCAAAGTTAGTCCACTAATGCCATAAGTATACAATCAAGAAAAGGTCCCAGCACATTTCTTACATTTTAAACTCTGCTTTATATAGCTGCAACTTTTGTTTTGTTTTGTTTTGTTGGTGCTTCTGGGACTTGAAATCAAGGTTACATGCTTGCTAGGAAAAAGCTCTATCATTTGAGCTATAAATATACATCGCATCATAACCCAGGTTTCTGATACATGCACTAGTAGGAATAATAGGCCTCTTTTTCCTGAAGATATTCAAGTACTAATCCCTAGATGCTGTAAATACTTCATGTTATATACCATGGGATACTTGGCATCTTCAATACTTAGGCATAGGAATAGAGAAGGATAGGCTGCCCACCCCCCAGTGCCAGGCTTTCTAGATCACCCTAGAAGATGGGAGGTGGCTTATTATAGTGTTGCTGAGTAAAAGCCATAAATGATTCAGCACTGCCAGTGTAATCATCTGCTTTCATTCTAGAGAGAGGTGTTCATGATCTCTGAAGGACACAGCATGTGCTGAATCCTAAGTCACATGTACTGTATATATCCCATCCCTAGCTTAGGCTTAGGAAAGACTGCTGACCAGGAGCAGGTAGATCTTTGCTATAGGAATGTCACTTCTGCATGTCAAGTTGTAAAGTACAGGGATGGAAAAGAGTCATGACCTCTTGTACCAAGCCAGTTCTCATAGAAACTATTCTGAACATCTTTGGCTTTCTAATTTTTAGTAAGTGAAGGCAGAAAATAGAATGTGGAAAGAAGCAGCATAAAAGCAATATAAATATGTAGCTAAGCAGTAGATCTTTTTAAAATAAATAATTTAAGAGGGAGTTTTAAGTAGATCATTATTCCAGGCTTAAACCTCTGGCAGCATACAGTAAATATCTAATAAAATCACAGGACATTGGAATAATGCCAGTAAACTTTACTGAATTTCTTCTTTACATGAGAGAGGAAAACATTATTGGATCTCCTCTCCCATGCACAAACAGACCAGCAGTATACTCTAAATTCAATACTTTACTAGCATTGCTTATGGTTGCCCTCACTCTGGGCAACAACTAGGTTCAGCGATGTCAGTAAAAGCCATGACTAAAAGTTCCATGTGCTAAGAGTTGCTATGGACTTCCAGATTAAAACAAAGTTTCAGAATCTAGATTCCATCAGACTGGTTTTAATTCAGTGACCCATTGAAATCTAACCACAACAAGGGAGATGAGTGGTGTAAAGTGTAGTTACAGAGGAGGGCAGAAGGGCAGTGTTGAGGAGGTGGCTGGAGAAATTGGCTGCTGCAACTGGTCCAGCCTGAACACCAAACCTGAGCTTCCACGAGTTTACCTAACAAGGACTAGAGCTAAGAGTCTTGGAAGTTATGGTTTCATAAGGAGACTGAAGCACATCCAGGCACGTAGTTGATGAAAACCCTGAAAGGAACTGAATAAGAAAGCGTGCTCACCACTGTGCCGGCCAATGGGTCATAGAAGCGCTCCAGGAGCTGCACCACCGTGCTCTTCCCACAGCCGCTGCTGCCCACCAGAGCCAGCGTCTGGCCTTTCTTCACCTGCAGACTCAGTCCCTGAAGCACTGGGATGTCTGGCCGGGTGGGATAGTTGAACTTCACTTCATTAAAGGTCACATTTCCTTCCAACACCTTCTAAAACGAGAAGAGAAACTCAATTTGCTGCAGTGCTGAAAATGCAAATTAGGATGGACAACTTTTATTATTAGGCATTTAGGTAAGAGCCTGATTAATAAGATTTCTAGGTGGGCAGTATTTTTTATCTGGGTTATATCAAAGTACTGGCTATTAATAATATTGTCAACATTTAGTAAAATAACAATGTGATCTAGATCCTATATTATTGTTAGCATATAAAATGGAACTTTTATTAAATTTCCTATTCAAAGTGCTATTATTCAGGAGTTAGGAATAGATCATATTCTCAGAACACCACACTCACTGGCTTTAATCCGTCTGTGCTGTAGCTGTCAATCTCCGGGACTTTTTCAATGAGCATGATGACATGAGATGCTGACACTTTGGCTTTGGCATAGTCAGGAGCAAGTGAACTGACCTGTCCAACTGCCATGGCGCCAAAGACAATAGCTGAAAAGACCCTGGAAAATTAAAAAAAAAAACTCTATTACATTTTCTTACACCCTAAAGACAGCAATGGTAGCAAGCTGGTATTGTTTACAGCCAAGCAGCGTTGCTTTAAGTAATTAGAAAAGTTACACAAAACACATTTTCAAGGATATTTTTTATTTTCTTTATGTAGTTGTACAAAGGGGTTAGTATTCAATAAATCAGTTTATAAGTTTAATGCATCTTGGTCAATACTACCTCTTTCATCGCGGAAATTAGCACTTTGCTTGTAAATTTAACTTCATTTCAGTTCGAAACTGTGATTGCAAAGTGTTGGTTTTTTTCCACCTCTGTTAATACCCTTACCTTCTTACATGACCTTTTAGCACTTCTGTTCAAGAAGGGCATTCTGATATCCTGCGTGTTGCATCTTTGTTGGGCTGTGTCTTGGTATGTCCTACAGGATGTGGTGGACATTACTGTTGACAGTTGCATGTCTATGAGTCAGAGTAGGCTTTGTGTTTTCCCCCACTCTCTTTTATTAGTTAGTTGTGGCTCACTGTAGACGTACAGTGATCCTAACTCTTATCCACTAGGTCCTTCCCAAATCAAGAGAGCTGAGCCTAGGTATTCGTGTATGGTACTGAACTTTAGTAACTGTTTGGTTGTTACACAGCATTATTGTGGAATTGTCGTCGAATATAGTTGGTGCTGGTAGAATGCTATCAGATTCTTAGAAAACCTAAGGAGACAAGCTAGCATGAGGGTACACACCTATAATCCCAGCATTTGGGAGGGTGAAGCAGTAAGATTATCAGTTCTGAGTCTGTCTGGGCTAAACAGTGAAGTCCTGATTTAAAAAAATATATTTTTTAAATGAAGAAAGGAAGGGAGGAGGGAAGACGAAAAAGAGGAAAGGAGAGAAAAAGTGAAGAAAGTGAAAAAAGGAAAACGTATGAACCATGCAACAAGGTGTTCCTCATGGACCTATTTATGATGCAGTTCCCACAGTAGACCTGCATTCTTGATCTATAACATGAGAATCATGGCAACAGAGCTTTGAGAGGTCAGTGTTTTTGCCTGGACACTTTCCCAAAATTGATTTCTGTGTTCAGCAGTAGGGAGCTGTATATTTGATTGTCAATTGTTAAAATTTTGTTTTAACTATATTTTTTTCTAGTATTGGGTATCAAACCCAGGATATTGCACTTGCTAGGCAAGCACTTTGCTACTGAGATATATCCCAACCCTAAAACTTTTCTTTTTCTTTCTTTTTGTCAGTCATGGGGCTTCAACACAGGGCCTGGGCTCTATCCTTGAACTTCATTTGTTCAAGGGTAGGGCTCTATCACTTTGAACCACAGAATCACTTGTGGCTTTCAGATGATTAACTGGAGATAAGAGCCTCACAGACTTTTCTGCCCAGGTTGGCTTTAAACAGCGACCCTCAGATTTCAGCCTGATGAGTAGCTGGGATTACAGTATGAGCCATTGGTGCCCAGGCTTAACGAGTTTTTTTCCACTGGAAAAAAAAAACCCTGTTTTTTTTTTTAATATATAACAGCCCTTAGAATATTAGAACATTATAAAAAAACAACTTATGTTTCTCTGAATGCATGCTTTATTACACTCCAGGGCACAGTTACTAAAGCATCTTTTTAAGCAATGAGCCTGGAACATCATATTTGAGAATCTTTCCAGAATATTCAGAATCTGCCACTTCTTTTTCTCCCAGTTCTGTACAACATAACAATTGTTTTCATTTTACAAAATAGCTCTAAGTAAGTCATACCCATTTAAAACAGAGGATCCTTTTCAAAAGAACTGCTTTTCAGACAGCCCACTCCATTTGTTTTTACTCACTTTGAAAATTGTTTTGCAAATTTAAGGCACAAGTGTAAGCAATTTTCATAGACTGAAAGGTTTGCAATAAAGGAATATATCAAATAATTATCCAAGCAAGTCCCAAATCAATGGTACATGACTTTATTCTTTGAATCATCTTTGCAAACAGCACCTGTATAACATTTCTCAGACAATTATAGAAATAGAAACTAAATTATCTGCACAGATACCCTCAACTGAAATATAAAGAAGTCTGTGCATAGGTGGAAATATTACAATTTAGCATGCACTATAGCATATAGTATGGTATGTATTGAACATATTATCTTGTCAGATTTATGATTCTAATTTGACTGTAAAATTGCATTGCCACTTTTAGCTTCTGACATGAAAGGGCAGAATTTCACCTGTCATCAAAAGAGAAACTGCAAAAATTTGCATACACTTTTTACTACCAAACTATAGATTTGGTTACTTTTATAGAATAATTTAGTTCAGGTTTGTCTTTCCCAACTGAGGTACCATTTTCTATATTCATAGTAAGATTTCAGATTCATAGAATCTAGTTTTCATTTGTCATAGTTTAACTTCTCCACCTGTTATCTTGCAAGTGATTTTCTTTTTTTTAATCAAGAAATACATTATCCTGGCATCTCCCAGAAGTTGTAGAAATTAGCACACCACCTCTATACCTTAACTGCCTGTAGGAAAGCCTTTACATGAGGTCATCAGACCACTTGCTCAGAGTTAGGCTTCTTCCCAATGTTAAGACCTTATGCAGACCTCTGGATTGATGCATCCCTCCAGCCACACATTGGGAGAGGTCAGATAGTGAGTCAGCACTGGGAAAAAGAGAGTTTACTAATGAAACTCAGGGTCTCAAGGATGACATACAAAGCCTTGGAGGCAAAATGTCAGTCTCTCATTCACCAGGATCATAGGAATTTCAATCAAGACACGAAGCATGTGGATTCCTTCTTTACTTTTACTTGTAAGCATTAACCCAGTACTTACAATAGAACATCTTCAAATACCATCAGCTCACGGGCCACCAAGTAGGCACCAAACCGGAAACAGGCAGCATAGGAAAAGTACATCATTGCCTGAGTGAAGGAGAACGTGATTCCAAAGATGTGTGCTTTCTTCAAAGCATTTCTGGAAAAAGGACATTTGAAAACTTACTCCCTTTTCATTTATTCCTTAAAATATAGTTCAATAGGTTAGTAAAGGAGAACAGAAAGTAACTTACAAAAATAGACTTAGTGTGGAAAGAAATAAGTTAGATCTCCTTTTATTTCCCAGTAGTGTAAATTTAGGGAACTCCCTAATCTTTGAACCTTGATGTCTTCATTCTTTAACACAGGATTAACTATACTTTAACAAGCTCGTATAAAGATCATCTAAGCCTGTGAAACTTGTAAAGAGTAGTTTAGGGATTAACAAATGACTTCCCTTCCTTTTATCCAACTATTGAATACAGACATGTGTCCTCTATAAATAAACATTCATCCCGCACACATTCACACAACAGTCATAGCATAGGATACCCTGTGGGTGGCACAGGGCCACAATGTCCCTGGCCTTGGGGATCTCAGAGTTCTGCTGCATCATTATTTACACAGCAGAGGTACTCTTTGAATAACAAGTTGTGGGAAAAGAAGTAGTACTTAAAAATCTTGAGGAGTTAAGAAGTATGAATACAGGTTCATAGCCCTAGGCATTATGAAATGGAACTCAGATATATCGAGTTGTGAGAGGGCAGATTGGGGAGCCAGAAGATCTCTGGGCTTCCTATTCCAGCTTTAATGTATAAGTTTGTCTATTATTTTTCCTATATATTGGTATTTTTTAAATTTATTTCTATTTTTACTGTTATTGTAGAGTTGAAATACAGAAGGGTTGGACTTACATTTATCAGGCAATGCGTACAATTCTTTTTGAAACATGTCTCGCCTTCCCTTGCTCTCTTCCAGTTTTTCCCTCCCATCCCCACTGGCAAGATGTACAATTCATTTTCCATGTAGTATCTAGTGAGTACCACTATTGTATTTGTTCACCCTTTGTTCCGCCTTTTCTGTGACCCCACCTCTTACCCTTTCAAATAAACAAACAAGACAAAAGGAAAAGAAAACAAAAACAGCAATAACAGCAACTAAAAAATGTTTCTTGTTTCTTTTTCTTGGAGTTCATTTCATAAAATATTTTATATGACCATATGCACATAAATAGTGAGCCTTTGTCAATCACTCCTACGCATATCCTCCTTTATCCTCAGTGCAACCACTATGGAAAACAGTATGGAGGCTCCTTAAAAGCATAACCATAAAAGAAAAAGAGCCAGGTACCGGTGGCTCACGCCTATCATCCTAGCTTCTCAGGAGGCTGAGATCTGAGCATTGCAGTTCAAAGTCAGCCCAGGCAGGAAAGTCTGTGAGACTCTCATCTCCAATAAACTACTCAGAAAACCACAAGTAGTGGCACTATAGCTCAAGTGATAGAGCTCTAGCTTTGAGCTGAAGAGCTAAGGGACAGCACTCAGGCCCAGAGTTCAAGCCCCATGATCGACAAAAAATAAATAAATAAAAGAATAAAAAACAGAAATCCCTGGGCATTTATCTAATAGAACACAAACAACACCACACTAAAGCTACCAGCACAACTATGTCTATTGCAGCACTGTCTACCATAGCCAAGGTAAGGAATCAACTCAGATGTCCCTCATTGGATGAATTGATCCAGAAAACGTGCTATATATATACAGTGTAACTCTATTCATCAGAAAGAACAATATTATACCATTTGTTAGGAAATGGAAAGACTTGGGAAAAATTATATTAAGCAAAGTTGGGGAGAGACAAAGAAACATAGGTTGTGTGGTTTCCCTCATCTGTGGCAACTAGAATGTGCCTATAAGTCTACAAAAGCATGATCAAATGATTAAAGTACATATTGGTATTTCAAAGAATACTATTGTCCCCAAAATGGCTCTAAGGTCAATACAAAAAACATCTAAAAACCTATTGATAAGGTCCATGTTTCTTATTAGATAAGAAACAGAATCAGAAAGGTTGGGCTTGCTCACGTTCACATCATTGTTTCCAGCCTTTGCTACATGTGTTATCCTAGGGACAACACAGGTTTAGGCAGCGTTACTCTTCAGTGTGCCACAATACTCATACTTCCATGTTCCACAAACGTTCTCAGCCACAATTAGAGTTCTCACCCACAATTATCCAAACTACATTAGATCTATTATAGAGAGATTTGTGTCAGATCTAGTATCTGAGAGTCTACCTCAGAGATGCTCCTGCTTTTGTTTCAGGTTCCTCATTTCTCTGCAGGGTAATTACAATGGTTCTCATGGCAAATTATCCTTCTGAACACAAATATGGCAACTGAAGCATTTCTCACTCTTCAGGAGTTCTTACCTGTATGGTACCTGCAAACCCTGGGAATACATCTGTTCAAACTTCTGCTCCCGAGTCAAAGAAACCACAGTTCTGAAGTTTTCTATTGCTTCAGTGGCAATCTGCAACAGACATTATGCATTATGAAGAGGCCAAAGTGCAAACAGAGGCAACTGATGTAAAGTCTATTAGTCTATTAAACAGATTGATAAAATTAAGTTATGACTATATGTCATTGATTTACCATTAACTATTTACTATGAGCATCTTCTCTGTAAAAAAGTATATTAAGTAAATTATCAAAATAAATTTTTAAATCTGGAAGAAAGATAAACTAATTTAACCATCCCTTCTTTCAATGAAATCAGGGAAGGCATGTTCCTAAAGTCACATAGCTATATAAATTCTCAAAATTAAGCTGGAAACTCAGTATTTTTATATCTTATGCAGTGCTCTTTCTACTATGCTGGTCATATTTTGTTTATTGTCATTTTACATATTTTTGAAAATGTGATATTTACATTTGATCTTTATATTGCCAATAATCATTGGAGAGGTTGAAAAGGTAGATAATCAAGTTACATACCGATTTACATACATACATAAATACATATATGCATACATACATACATACTGGCCTGTGTAATTTTTCCGCTAAGCACACATCTTTAACAATTTTATATGTACTTGCCTTAATATATATTAATAGTATTTTCTAAAGTTATTGAATATACATTTACATTGGGAATCAATGAGTAATTAACATTCTAGCCATTTAAGCATTCCTAACAATGTTTCTTTCTCTTGCTTTCTCTCTTGCTTTTTTTTTCTTTTTTCTTTATTTTTCCCTCAACCTGGGGCTCGACCTCAGGGCAATGTTTCTGCGCCTCTTCGTGCTCAAGGCTAATGCTCTACCACTTGAGCCACAGCGACACTTCCAGCTTTTTTTGAGTAGTTTACTGGAGATAAGAGTTTCACAAATTTTTCTGCCCAGGTTGGCTTTTGACCATAATCCTCAGATCTCAGCCTCCTGAGTAGCTAGGATTACAGGTATAAGCCACCAGTGCCTGGCTTTCATTTTTTATTTTTGTAGTGTATTGTGTAACAAAACATAATAGTAAAAAATATTTTTCTCAGCTTATATAAGCAGTTATATTTAGTTTCATTCACCTTTCCAGAGCCTTCTAGCTCTTTCTTATCTTTTAGTGCATGTCCAGACAACATTTTCATTTCAACAACTCCTGCGATCGCAATGATGGGCACAATTGCCAGGAGCAAAAGTGTCAATTGCCAGCCATAGATTAAGGATATAATGATTCCTGTTCCAAGATTTGCGATATTCTGAGTAATTAAAGCAAGTCTGGAACCTGTAGCCTGAAAAACAAAACAAATTAATCATATTTTTATATTATCTTTAAAAAACATGCCCATGAATTCTTAAGGATTATGAAAATTAAATAACATTAAAAAATCATTTCAGATATGAGATAAAAGTAAAATTTTACTTAAAATTTCATTATAAAGGTGATGTACAAAGAGGTTACAGTTACATCAATTGGGTATTGAGCACATTTCTTTTTGCACAGTGTCACCTCCTCCCTCATTTCTCTCAGTTTTTTTTCCTTCCGACTCCTTCACCCTCAAATTGTATCATTCATTTCCAACAGTTTCTAGACTGAGTATCACTGCTGAATTAGTTCACCTCTTGTCCCACTATTTCTGCACTTACCCTTAAAATTTTACTTTTAAGATGTTTGTTTGGTTGTTAAAATGCAAATATTTATGACTTCTGAATACTGCAAGAAGATCAATACAGAATTCAGTTTCTCTGTGTTCTGCTATTCTAACACCAAGAAAATGTTTATTCACTAAAGGTAAGCACTAAAGCATGCTAAGCCAATTAGTAAAGTAAAAGAATAATTATTTCATTAAACCTGGAATGATAGAAATTATTAACATTATGTATGTCTCTACTTAAAACTTAAAGCTGAAATTTGCTATTAAAATATTCCAATATATCCAGGATTATTTGAAATTTTTATGGTGTTTAATTAAACTTGAGTTGATTTTGAAACAAATCCATAGGTTTGAAAGGCCACCATGTAAGCTGCAAGTATATCAAGTGGTAGGGTCCTTTCTTAACAAGCGTGAAGCCTCTGGTTTGATCCTTAATATATATATATATTTCCCCCTCACAAATGAAAAAAAATTCCAAGCACCAATTTCACTGCTAAGCTCTGGGCACGAAACCACCCAACTCTGTACACATCTCCCCAGGACATCTAATGTGGGCATTACAAACATTCATTCGCACATAAAACTCTCAGTTCTCCCAAGCCTACGTCTCCAGTGGGTTTCTAATTTCATTAAAAGTGAATCATAGTTTCTCAGTTGTGCTAGTGAAACATTCAAAATCATCCTTAAATTCTATTTCTCTTCCATTACTCAATTATTTAATCCAATGAGCAAAATCTATAGGTTTACATTTCATCACCACCTGGAGCATACCCACACTATCATTCCTCTGTTGGGTTATTGTAATAGACTCTCTCTTCCTGTTCTTGTATCCTTCACCTTGTCTACACAATAGCTATACTGATCTATTAAATGATTCAGATGCTACATTGAATTCCACAATGGTTTTTTATCTGATTCCACGCACAATGCTAACCACACCATTATGGCACTTCTTCCTCTGGCCCTCATCCGGTTGTCCTACCCTTCCTGTTATTTGAGCAATAAATGTTTCAGCCTCAGAGACTTTGCACTTGCTACTTTTCTGGTCACAACACTCCTTCTAGACACCCATTAGGATGATACCTTTCCTACCTTAAGCCCCATTTCTTATATCACCATGTCACTGGGTTCATTCTCCTTGACCATTACAACGCTTCTAGATCCATATCTGAGTTCCATTTTTCAAACAGCACAGTTTGAAATCTGATCTACAAGATAGACTCCATCAAGACAAGACCCATGTCTTATCTATAGAGTTTACAGTTACCTCATGCAACAGACATTGTGATTTACAAATTGATGGAAATCTTGGGTTTGGTTAACTTGTTAATGCAAAGAGATTTGTAATTCTTAAGAGACAGTAATTCTTAAAAATCTATATTAAAATTTAGCAACTCTCTCTACTTCTGTATTCATCATCTAATTTATCCTTCTAAAAGCTTCATGTATTACACAGAGAAATCATCAGTATAATATTGCCTAAAAGGAAGGTTGAAAGGTAAATACTGTTAAGATGCAAGATGAAGGACACAGTAGAGAGTGATTTTTTGTTTTGTTCAAATACCACATCGTATTATAAATCACCATTAAGTTGTGGTAGTAAAAGAAAGTCTCTTCAGCCACGAATCAAAGCCAGATGTTTTGAATCCAAAGTTATTCCTGCTACATACACTTTAATTTTTAATATGCTTTCCTAATTCTTTCAGCCTGTTCTTTAAAAATATCTTCTGGTTGTTCCTCCTAAACTATAATGCCCCTAAACATTCTGGTAAAAATAACATATTTAATTTTATTATCAGCAATTACAATTTCCTACTGACATTTATCACTATAATAGACTGGTCCTGAGGATATGCTGAGAACACTTTTCCAAGTAACAATTCTTTTGCATGTACCTTATAGTATGAATAATATAACAATAACAGAAAAATGTTGTACATTATCTTAACACTATATGGCATACAATGCATAAGTAGTTAACGGTTGATATAAGCTTTATAAGGTATATGATATATCTAGTGGTTGGATATGTATTTACATTTTCAAAAAGATGAGGATGGGGATGATGAAAACTAACACCTGTGATGAGAAAGTGAGTCTCACCATCTTAAGGTTTATAATAGAATGAAGACAAACCCTAACAGCAAGGAGGTACCTACCCCTTTTACTTGTGCAGCATCATTGGCAAGCCTGGTGGTCAAAGCTCCAGTGGTATTTTTTGGGTTATCAAACCAGCTTACATCCTGTGAAACAGAAGGGATTTTTTTCTCTTAAAAGTTCTAATTACTAGATTCTTACTTGTGGAGGAAAGTGACAGGGTCAGTTTTGTCACTTGTGTCCTGTGCATGTAGCACTCAGGATATAGCAATCAAAAATAAGAAAGAGATTTAATAATGACATAAAAATGAAATTTCACTTGTTAAATTTTTTTTGAGAATACAAGAGTCAACAGAAGCAAGCTTTCTTAAATCATAAAGTCTGGGTGCTAGCAAGACCACAAGTAAACAAAAATACACTATTATCTCCAGTGGTAATAAACAGAAAGAATAGAACAGGGTCAGAATGACAAATATTTTAATGTCTACCTGAAAGCAGTTCTACACTATTAAGAACTTGGTCATTAAGAACTGTGATACAATTGTTCGTATGAATTTTGCAAGTTTTGGCAAATGCTCCCCACTAAATATACAGGGTCTCAGAGTGTCATGACACCCACGATTGCCTTCAAGAAGAATGACATCATCCCTTCATTTGTACACTTGTTTTTGTATTCTAGATTTTCAGCATGACTCTGCATACACTAGCCATAGGTCTTAACCAATTTGGTATTATCTATTTTCATATTTTTATTCCCTGATAAACATATTTTTGTAGCACCACTTGAAGTTTTCTGCATTGGAGCTGTTTCAGCATAAAACATTTGATTAACTCATTCTGTTATTTATTTATTTTCTCCTTCTGTGTGAATGTTTTTAATCTGCATATGGCTCATTGTTCTACAGAAGCTGAAATGATTCTGTATGTCAGGATTTGTCATCTTGAGTTCATCAAACTGGAGTGTGAAATGAAACATGTTGGCAAACTGTTTAGCAGAAAGCTGCACTGGCTCTAGATGCTGGGCTGGAGAATACGGTTACTTGTCATAAAGCAACTTCTAACTTCTGGAAAATGACATAACATTCCTTAAATTTGCTACTAGTGGATTGTCCACACCTCATGCCTTCTCCTGAAACTTCTAGCCGTCTTGATTCTGGATTCCTCTTGTATTTCATAGCCAGCTCCTCTGTATGATTCTAAGTCTTCCAATTGCTTTCGCAACTTTTAATACTACATTCACCTGATTATAAACTTCCTTCTCAGAATCTGTGGGCTACATATCTTCAGCCAGTGCTGGTAATTCTATCCTTGTTTGCCCATCCTCCCTGTGCTCTCAAGCAAGCCCCTCTGACCTCCATGATGGGCCACAGTGGCTCTTCGGTGGCTGGAAAGGGAGCCCAGCTTTGAAGCCCTAAGCATCTGCGACAGTGGTAAAACTGTGCTTGAGGCCTTTTTTAATGGAGTTGTCCTCATGTGGTACCCCTTGTCCTTTCTTCCCACACCACACACAGAGATTCAATGGGTGGAGAGTAGAGTAGGTATAGGGCAAATGTAACATTCTAGGAGTTGATATCTGATGGTGTCTGGGGTACATTATATATGACCTTTATATATTTATAAAGATTCTAGAATTTACCATCAGACATGTGGCTAGTGTAATGCATTTTGTCTCAGCAGGTTTTTAGTTAGAGTGATGTTCATGTTGGAAGAAGCATTCTGGCTATAGAGAAGGAAAACACACAGATTAGGATAAAGATGGAGGAAATGTGAATAGCATGGAGGCTCTTACAATCTTAAACACAAAGAGAAGCCTTCAAGGATTTTAGCCTTGATGCTGTCTGTCACCTACTGATATGGGCAAAGAGTTCCTGGAAAGAAAAGAAGAGTAGAAAGCTGAAATTTAGGAAATACTAAAGCATAAAACATTTATTAGATATCCAAATAGAAAGTTGAACAATAACTGTAGTTATTTAGCTATCGTTAAATAACTGTAGTTCAGAGCAGAAGGTAGAATTAGATTAAAAGGAAATCATCTGAAGAACGAATATTGAATTTTTCTTTAATATCTGGGTACTGGTGACTTAAGACTTGTGATCCTAGCTACTCAGCAGGCCAAAACCTGGAAGAGTGAGGTTCACAGCAAACAATGCAGGAAAGTTAGTAAGACTGTACCTTCAATTAACTACCAAAAAGCTAAACTGGGAGCATGGTTCAAGTGGTAGGGTACCAACCATGAGCAAGTAAGTGAGTGAGTTCAAGGCCTCTGAGCTGAAATCCTGATGCCAAGAAAAGAGATATCTATTGTAAAATCATGTATTTTTTTAAATAAATAGGTATGGTGAATTTTAATTGTGAATCGATGTCTGTCACAAGTAACTATAGCCCTGAAAAAAGATACTTGGAATGGCCATTTACATTAAAGTAACAGTAAACAATTTTTTCAAAAGCATTTAAGAAAAATGGTATAATTTGCTTTGTATTATTCGTAGGTATGTAGGCATGTTTTTCCTTGCTGGAGTATAACTTCTTTGAAGGCTAGAACCAATCAGATTTGAAATATTTGCAATATTTGGCATTATATCTTGTAAACAGAAGGCTTATTATATGCTGCCTCATAGAATAATTTATGGTGAGGATATTATACTTTCTACTCAGCTGTGAGAGTATAATGGACTGGAAATTGGCCAAGAGGCTGGTAGAATGAAGGCACATTTGGCCCAGGACTCAAGGATCACTAATAAGTGAAATATCAGTTTGACTTGAGAGTACAAGGACAAATAATCCCATTAAAAAAAAACAAAACAAAAAACTGGGGGCTGGGAAGGTGGCTCAGTGGTAGAGCACTTGCCTTGCATGCATGAGGCTCTGGGTTCGATTCCTCAGCACCACATAAGCAAAAAAGAAAAAAAGCCGGAAGTGGAGCTGTGGCTCAAGTGGTAGAGCACTAGCCTTGAGCTGAAGAGCTGAGGGACAGCGCCCAGGCCCAGAGTTCAGGCCCCACAACCGGACCCAAAAAAAACAAAAAACAAAAAACTGCTCTGTCACTCATCAGATTCAGCCCTGTCTCTACCCATCATTATCTGGTAATCCCAAAATAGGTCTTTTTTTTTTCACGTGGAGATGAGGATAGTGGAAAAAGATTGTGGGACCATAGACAACTTGAAGAGGTGAATGCCCAGTTGAAATCCCAGCATATTAGATTCTTTCAAGTTAAAGGTTCAAGTTTCTCTGGCATGTCTAGAGCAGCTGGTAGCAGTATTTTATTCAAATGAATACTGACATAAAAATGAATCTTTGTAGGTTCACATGGAACAATTTCATGTTTGTTAAAAGTTCCACACTTTAAATTGGCCTGCATTAGGTTACATTTTACATGTCCCTTTTGATGTCATTGTCTTGAACATGCCCAAAGTGAGAGATACTATTTTAAGTCATCATTAACAATTAACATTGCAGAATAAATTAGCATATTAGTGAAGCCCAGGAAAGAAATGGGTAATGAGGAATGGGCCATGGGAATGAATATAGCTTAGTGGGATGAATACAGAGGACATGTCTAATGCAAAGAAATCTGACCAGAATATCCTGGGAAAGAAGGGAAAAGAAAAAGAAAGAGAAGAGAAACATGACAGATACTGAAGATTACTTCCACATGCAGTAAGATATCTAAAACAAAAGATTAGAGGATAATCAGCTCCATTTGTTTCAAAGCATTCCAGTTCTTTGTGTCCAATGGAGTCAACAAACCACAAAGCTTCATCATGATGAGGGGCAGGTTCAGCCGCATCTCTGAGATAGACTGAGGGATCACCAACAATATGTGAGTTGAGTATGAGAAACAAGGCCAAGATCCAATTGCTTGAGTTCACAAGGCCCACATGTGGAGTGCTACACACCCCAGGAATCCACCTCCACAGCCCTACCTGTCTCAGCATGGATCTGAAAACCATGTACCGTAGCCGTCTGGTGAGGATTTCTCCAGCTTTACCAAATGTGTAGCCCTGTAAGGAACAAGAACATGCCACACCAGAGTTGAGTGAGAAAGACACCAATTATACAAAATGACTGGGTTTAATGTCATTACTAAGACAAAGTCAGAAAGCTTGATTGCTGGGGTTGGGTTGGCTGCATTTCTGTGAGCATGTGCTCACAGAAGGTGCAGGACTACAATGGTGATCAGGACAGCACAACATGCTTTTAGATCTGATAAGGAAAGAAGTCAGATAACTTAGAAAAATGTAACTGTTAACAGTCACGTGATGCAAGCAATTCTACTAAAAGGAAGATAATAGAAATGTTTGTAAATCCCATTCCCACTAAAACAAAGGAATAATGTAGATATTTACCTGAAGGAAAAATGTAATAAATGATATAATTCCAAGGATGAGAAATAAAAGTGAAAACAGGTTACTATTGTTCCGTTTTGTTTCAGGATCATCATCTCTTGCGAAAACCTTTGAGAAAATATTTAAAGGGTTGTTAATTCAGTTACTGAAGAAATTTCCCTGGTCTGAGCTAGTTCCTATCTAGCCTAATTCTGGGATTGACAGAGCTGCGCTCCACTGGAAAACAGGGTTGGCTTTGGGAATACTGATGACTCGAAGGTACCTGCATTCTGCTTCCTGGGAGACCAAGAGATGTGTCATTTCCAAATTGATCCAAAGATATTTTTTTTGTTGGTCATGGGGCTTGAAACCTAGGCCTGGGTGCTGTCCCTGAGCTCTTCAGCTCAAAGTAAGTGTTCTACCACTTTTGAACCACAGTGCCACTTCTGGTTTTCTGGTGGTTGGTTGAAGATAAGAGTCTCATGGACTTTCCTTCACAGGCTGGCTTTGAACCATGAACCTCAGATCTCAGCATCCTGAGTAGCTAGGATTACAGGCATGACCCATCAGTGCCTAACTTGATCCAAAGACTTTTATACTTAGGTTCCTTCTTGGAGTAAAGAGCACTATCCTTGTGTCTGGATAGAAAATGCAGGAAGTGGCGCTGTAGCTCAAGTGGTAGAGTGCTCGCTTTGAGCTGCAGAGCTGAGGGACAGCGCCCAGGCCCAGAGTTCAAGCCCCACGACCGACCAAAAAAAAAAAAAGAAAATGCAAACAAACATTGTCCTCTTCCCTTGTTCAGAAACTACATTGCAAGACAGCACATTGTATTACTATGTGGACATTTCAAACTGTCCTGAAATATCTGGCAAGGCACTCTTACTGACCAGGGAGATGTATTCATTCACTCTGCTTTTCAGAAAGAAAAGAGCTTCTCTAGTCAGCATTCATTGTTTGGTGGCCAGTTACAGAGCCAGCTGGGAACCACAGCCCACTATGAGAACATCACATATGGAAACTTTTCCAGAGATGGCTAGAAGGACTAATAGAAAATTGTCCTTCTGTGTTCTCATACAGTGTAGAGAACATTTACTCCAGAAGGAAAGAAAGCACAATTCTCTCTCTATAGACAAAAATCAATCTTGTAATACACAACCATTCTTAACCCAGAAAAGTTTGTTCTCTGTTTAAGGGGAGAAACATTCGAAGTTATCAAAACAGTTTTTTACTAGCTATTTCAACAAAAACAGGATCACAAAACTCTTACTCTGTGTTAAGAATTACACTAATCAAATTCATATGCACTATTCATTTGATGCTCACAACAAAGTTAGCATCTTCTCCAAAAGTTTGTCTTATAATCATCATCACCATTTTACACAGAGAAATTAAAGCATGAAGAGATCAATTAACCTGTCCAAGGGAACTTAGGTAGCAAAGGATGACCCAAGGAGATAAAGCTAAGCCATTTGACCAGAGCCCATTATGAACAATGAAGCAAAATGAGAAGTACATCATAATGACTGAGGTGTCTTGGAAAAGTGTGCATTGAACCTGGCCCTTTCCTGTCCCTCCTCTGTTTCCTATTATGAGCGGAGCAGGCTTCCACATGTGGCTCCACTACATGCTCCCATAGCCATGATTTTATAACGTCTCAAGCTCAAAACAAAGGATCCATCTCACCTTGGATTGAAGCCTCTAAAACCAAATAGAGCTATTAAAAACCTCTAAAGCCAAAAAAAGTTTCCCGCCTCTAAATAGTGTCACTCAGGTATTTGTCACAGAGACAAAACACTCACCAACACATAACTGTTAATCTGTATTTCAGTCTTAGGAAGTAAGACAAAACTTACATCTTGTATAGCTAATAAACTAGGCTTGGTTACATCCTGGCAGGAACTTATGTTCCAGAACAGCTTATTCTCAGTTCAGAGAAATAAGAAAGCCAGCTTGCATTCTGGTGAGATGATGGATCATGAGTTTTGCTTAGAGCTCGATTTTGATAGGTATGGAAAAGTTATGTTACCAATTTCATTGGCTATTTCAGGGAATTAAAATCTAAGGACATAGAAATTATCAGAGCCCTGGATAGAAACCAGGAGCAAGGAATGGTTACAAAATGAACTTTCCTATCACAAACCAGGCTTGAACTCTTAGATCATTAAGGCAGCTGCTTTCACATAAAATGACATATTTTCTGTGGCTTGTGTTTAATTGATCCTTTAGTCAATAAGTAAAAATAAAAAAGAACATCAATACTTACCCCTACAATCTTTGAAAATATTATTGAAAATGCTGGTTGTAGGCCCCCATTTATAACAGCACAAAAAATACCAACCACAAAATATGGCCACTCAGTTAAATTCAGTTTTAGAATCCTCCAGAAAGAAACTGGAGGTACATTTTCATCCTAGAAAACATAAAATATTACCAGAAGCTAGTTGAAAAATAATTTTTCATTGATTTTATGATATACCATTTTTCTACAAGTTACAACTTTTGAAAATGAATATATCCCATTATTTATCCCCATTATTTTTTAATGGTTATTTAGCTTCAAAAAAGGATTGAAAGATTCTGTTATGGTACAGACCTCTTTACATTTTAAGAGATTCATGATGTTTCTATAAACATTCAACTCTTGACCTGACATGCAGAAGATGATAAGACTCTTTACAAATACTGACATACTGAATAGAAATTTTAATATGACAACCCACTACCATATATTATAAATTCTAATCTTACAAATATATTCACTAATCCTTATTCTTAAATTCTAAACTGATGATAAAAATATTGGCCTTTTGCTTCTAGAACACTATAGAGAATAGTTCAGGAGGATTTTAGAAAATATTTTTTGCTCCTACTCTTACCACAACTCCAGCCCACACAAGTAGGAGAAACACTGGGACATAAAATTGTATATTGTCATGCATACCAAGGCCTCCTCTTTTGTACTAGGCTTTCTTTCTTCGTCTTGTGGACTGTGGATACTTCTGCGACTTGATTTTCTTCTTAATAGACTGGATCGTGAGTCTTTTGAGGACATATCAACGTTATGAGTTTCACCATTAGGTCCATAAAGGTCATTTTCTAATTCAATTTCATTTCCTCCTGTCTAACATAAACAAGAAATATGGAAAGGCTAGTTAGGATCACTTAACCTATGAAAACTTAATCACTAGACATCAATATTAAGAAGAAAAATGATACCTCAATTGAAATAATGATAAGAGGAGATGCAGTTAAACTGCTGTTTCTTTGTGTGTGTAGTGTGTGCAAGTGCTTGGTGTAAACTCTACGCCTCATACTCTCTACTCTTGCCTAGTACTCTACCCTTGAACCATACATCTACTTCTAGGATTTTAGCAATTAATTGGAAATAAATTGTAAATAAAACTTGTTTATCTGGACTGGCTATGAATCAACCTTCAGATTTCAGCCTCCTGAGTAGCTAGGATTTTAGGTGTGAGACAAAACACCTGGATGCCTGGATGTATTTAAAAATGAAAACCCTGAAATAATTAGCATTCCTGCTAGATATGATGATTCACATGGTATTCTTTCTGTGAATATAATATAGTTATTGTTTCTGAGGTATTAGATCAGCTCTATCAACAGAAAATCAATATAAACCTGATTATAAACCAAAACTCAAAATTTTATAATGATTATGTTGAAAAAATGTGAAAACAGCCCAAATCAATTTTATTTCTTTAAATTTTTTTTTCAGATATACCCAAGATATCCAGTGATACTATATTTTCAATATAAAATCAATATAAAAATACTGAGAGGTGTTACTTTTAGTAGTAGTAATAATAATTTATAAATTTATAGTTCGTTTTCCTCTTACCATATTCAACATTCCAAATTAAGTACCATACAGTAGCTATATGGGGATAGCTAACTTGTAAACTAGATAACTTAGCTTGAACTCTAACATAACTTTTCCTTAAATATTCTTTTTTAGTTCCTTTCTCTCTTTGCAATAAAATAAAATAATACTGACTGCCTTATATCCCCAAAGTGTTTCCCCCTACTTTTCAAAATACGTCAAGTAACTTTACTTTCAGGATTATAAAGAGCCATACTAGCTTTCAATAAAGTATATCTTAGGACAATTGTAGAGTTAAGCCATACCTGCATTGTGACAAGTTTGTAGTAAACTCCTTTCTCTCTCATGAGTTCATCGTGATTTCCTTTCTCCACAATGACTCCATCATCAAAACCAGCAATGACATCAGCATTACGAACTGTAGACAAGCGATGAGCTATCACAATGGTGGTCCGCCCTTCTCTGGCCTAAAGAGACAGAGATGTAGCTTTTGATGACATTACTCATTACATCTCAAAACTCACCCATATAATTTACATTTGCAAACTGAGCAAAGTCATAGAAGACAGTCTTTAAATAATTTTAAAATACTGTTTGATCATAGTAAATGTAAACACAAACATCACATAGTATTATTTTATGCCTGTAAACATGTTAATATCTATCAGCTTAAATTTACAGTAATAAATAGAACTTTTTTTCCCCTGAAGTGGTGAAACTAGAGGGGATTATATTTAGGACATCAGGCATGCTCAGCTAATTAGTGCTTTTATCATGGACTATGGCCTCATACTTATATGGCCATGGACTATGACCTTATACAAAACACTACAGAGTAAGGACTAGCCAATCAAAATGAACATGACTCCAGAGAGCTCCTAAAGTATATTTCATCTAGTAATCCATAGGAACCATATGTCCTGTGCCTCACAGTAATAAAGACATAGGAATATGAGTTAATAAAGTTTAGGCTTCAGCATTATATTATCCTGAATTAAAATCTTCCTCCAGCCAGGTGTTGGTGGCTCATGTCTATAATCCTAGCTAATCAGGAATCTGAGATCTGAGAATTGCTGTTCAAAGCCAACCCATACAGGAGATTCTTATCTCCAAAAAGTACTCAGAAAAAGTCGGAAATGGCTCATTGTGGCTTAAGTGGTAGAATGCTAGCTTTGGGCAAAAGGAGCTCAGAGACAGGACCCAGGCCCTGAGTTCAAGCCTCAGAAGTGGCAAAAAGAAAAGAAAATCTTCCTCTACGGTGTTTAGGATTTTATCAATATATTTTAAATGATGTGTAGGCTCAGTTTATTCATATGCAAAATAAAATAATAGTACCAATTTCTTAGGGCAGTTGTGATAATAAAGTAACACACATAAAGAACTTAGCATTGTGATAGCTACAAAAAGTGCTTGATTAATGTTTTTTTTCCAAAGTTCAAGCATTATGGGGAAAATGAAAAGCTCTGTGATGCTTTCAATGCCTCATATTATTTTTAAATTATATTTTAATTACCTTTTTTGGGGGGGGGGTCCGGTCATGGGGCCTGACGCTCTGGGCCTGGACGCTGTCCCTCAGCTCTTCAGCTCAAGGCAAGTACTTTACCACTTGAGCCACAGAGCCACTTCTGGCTTTTTTTTTCCTGCTTATGTGGTGCTGAGGAATTGAACCCAGGGCCTCATGCATGCAAGGCAAGCTCTCTACCACTGAGCCACTTTCCCAGCCCTATTTTAATTATCTTTAAGTAGTTGTACATAGGAATTACCATTCAACAAACCAGTTTGTAAATGCAATGTATCATAATCCATGTCACCCCGTTCATCAGTCTTACTACTAATTTAATTTCTCTCCCATGAGAGAAATTTATTCCTTTCCTCCCTCCTCTGTTCCGTTTCCCCTGACTCTCCCTCCATGTTTCCTTTATTTTTTCCTTTCCTTCTCTTTTTTTCCTCTCTCTCTTTAATTTAGATTGTTTTTGAAAAGTAGATGAGAAAAACCTGGTAGGAATAATTATTAAGTATAGAAAAAGACGAACCAATTCTTTGGATATTTTGGAGATAAAGGAAACCTGTGAAATATCCTCCCAAAGTTTATACTTTAAAGAAAATGTTTCAAAAAAAAAGAAAATGTTTCTAAGGAGAACTTTAAAAAGTTGTTTTTATTTCTAATTTGATATGCTGTTCTATTATGTAATTAGGAAATACAGATAAACAAATACAAAAACAGAACCAAAATGAAGAGTTAAAAAAAGCAGCCACAATTCTATCTATCCTGATTTTAGTTCATAAAATGTTCAATAAGCTTCTTTTCTAATGTTCAGATCTATTAAACACAATGACAATATTTACAGGAACATACAATGTTTTATTAGGCAGAAGATAGTCTAAGCATGCAAGGTTCATCTTTAATACCTAAAGTCATAGATCAATCTAAAACACCTTTGTTTCTCACACAGGTCACCCAGTGATCACCACACATGGAAGACTAATCATGCAGCATTCACACACAGGAAGCTCTTAGGTACTATTTGATAAGTTTTATAGATTCAAAAATTGAAAGAGATTCATGACTCAAAGTATCATAGGCTTTCTGTCCCTGTTCTGAGGACAAGAGACTATTTCCAAGATGCCTTAAGAGTCATTTAGCATCTTGGAAAATAAAGCAAATGCTTCAATAGCCATTTGGAGTTGCCTGTCCAACACTAAATGCCCCAATTAATATAGAAAAAGAGACCAGATTATATTTTCTGTTCATAATATAAAATCTTAAAAACCTAACCAACAAGGTTAACCCTCTAGTTACATTTACAAGATCAAAATGAGCATTCGGTTTCATTTGAGTTTATATTTCCCATTGTTTAACTGAAAAGATTTACAGACTTTACATGAAAATATACCTACTGCTTCTTGAAAAAAAGTCAGAGAATAAAGTTGAACAAACTAAGAATTATGAGAAGAAGAAGAAGAAAAAAAACCAACTTCAGAGACCTGAAGCATTTTAAGGCTTCAAAGTTCATTCATTCAAAGTACACAATTGCACAACCATCTTCTAAAATAAAAATGACATTAAATAAATTTCCTTGTGCATAAATAATTTATATTCTCTCTAAAGTAGATGTTCAAAGGTGCTAGAATAAATCATCTGATTCTATAATGTTAAGAATACCTAAAAGCTATCAAAATTTTCTTTTCTAATGTAAAGAAGAATGAGCAGTGGAAGGCCTCTATTGTTCTTAAAGAGTTGGTTTGACCTCAGCTTACAGACCTTATCCAGAGCCACCTGAACCACAGCTTCACTTTCTGTGTCCAAGGCCGATGTGGCCTCGTCCAGCAGGAGGATCTTAGGGTTGCGAACCAGGGCACGTGCTATGGCGATTCTCTGCTTCTGTCCACCACTCAGCTGGGCCCCTCTCTCTCCAACCAGGGTGTCAAATTTCTGCAACAGAAAAATCACAGGAGGATTTGGTAAAACAATAAGCTATATTAGTTCGTATTTTAAATTGAAAAGTAATTCCTCAAACTATTCAAGTCCTACCAGTCATACAGTCTACCTCTTTACAACAACAAATCCCAGTTTTAAAAATGTGTCCACCACTAGATGCTACTGCTAGAGCTTAAGAAACCCAAAAACATCTTGACTTCCCGTCTAGGGTGTCCTCCAATGTTGCAGGATTTCTTAATTGTGAGGACTACAGTAGGCTAGAGCTCTGTTCTGTGAGTCTCTGAATGACAAGGACAAGGGCAAGCAGACTCACATGGGGCAGTTTCATGATGAAGTCATAGGCATTGGCTTCCTTTACAGCTTTCTCAATCTCATCCATGGTGACATTTTCACGACCATAGCGAATGTTTTCTGCTATTGTGGTGGCAAACAACACGGGTTCCTGACTCACCACACCAATGATCTCCCGCAGATATTTCACGTTTATGGTCCTAATGTCCTGTCCATCAATACTGACCTGGAAGTTTAAAACAAGGGTGATTTTCCTTCATTTCTAGCAGACATTATCCCCGGAGTGAGGTGAGGTGGTCCCTGCTGATGGCTGCGGGTCTAACTCACCACGCCCTCTGTGGGATCATAGAGCCTCTGGATCAGCTGCACTGTCGTGCTCTTCCCACAGCCACTGTTCCCAACCAGGGCCACTGTCTGTCCACTCTGCACCTTCAGGTTGAGTCCCTTCAAGATCTACCAAGTTGAGTGAGAAGTAAGCATTAAGACAACTCCGAGATACAGACACATGAGACCCTGGGGTCGATTCCTCATTACCACATAAGCAGAAAAACCTGGAAGTGGCACTGTGGCTCAAGTGGTAGAATGCTAGCCTTGAGCTGAAGAGCTCAGGGACAGCACCTAGGCCCAGAGTTTAGGCCTTATGACTGGCAAAAAAAAATATATCTCTAAAGGAAAGTATCAGAAATTCTTTATCAAATAGCTTAATCATTTATCATGGTACCTTAACTTCCTTTCGAGATGGGTAACTGAAATGAATATTTCTGAATTCCAAATTTCCCTTGATAGTATCTGGTTTGTGTCCACTTGTTGAGAAGCTGTCGATGCTTGGCTTCTAAACCAATGAAAAAATATTAGGCAATTACTACATTACAATAACAAGTTTTCAATGATATTATGTGCAGAACTGGATAAAATGAAAACCAAGTTTGTTCTCAACTGGAAAGTCTTTTGTGTAGATGGACAAATAGCCATGTGAGACTTACATTATCAATGATCTTGAAGACTTCATAAGCTGCACCTCTGGCATTTGCAAATGCTTCAATGTTCGGAGTTGCCTGTCCAATACTAAATGCTCCAATTAATACAGAAAAGAAGACCTGAGAATGGGAAAACACAAATTTACTTACTTTTGTTTACCATAATCCTCTTATTCTTTTCCTACATTATTAATTCCATTTTAAATTAGAAAGGCAACATAAGAATACTGGGTGTTTCATTGTAACAATAAGATGTACAAGACACTATGTTAAAAATGAGCTTTACAACTTGTAGGGGGAGGAGCTGGGGAGAGGGGAAGGGAAGGGATAGTAGGGGAAAAACAAAGGAGGAGGCAACAATGCTTAATAGGAAATGTACTCATTACCTTACTCATGTAACTGTAACCTCTCTGTACAGTATTTTTACAATAATAATATATACAAAAAAGAATACTGGGTATTTAAATGTTTTCAATGTTTGTGATTAAGAGGAGAATACATCCAGATATATTATAACAAGTTATGTCAGTTATGAGGTTTTCAAGTTACATCATGTTTAGGCCACCTCCCAGAATATGTTCTATTTGAAGTGCTGAAAACAGTAATGCAATTATGACTGGTCAATTAAGAGTATACAAATTAAGACTTAAGTACTATTTTATTTGGCAATAAGAGAATTTGAAGACCAGGCCTTCCGATTTCCAAATCTTCCTTGTCAGCCACACCGTCAGCTTTTTCTGCATTCATTGTTTTAACCGAGCTTTGCATTTATGGCTAGGCTGGTCTACAATCTTAGTTTATGTTCTACAATTAAAGCCTACATTTCTATTAATGCTTGCCTCATAGCTCGAATGATATACGTGTACCACCACATCCAGATTTCTGTTGGTTGAGATAAGGTCTGAGAATTTTTCCCCCTAGACTGGCTTTCAACCACCATCTAATCAGTCTCTACCTCCTGAGTAGTACTGGTTAGGGTGTGAACCATTAAGCTTGGCTAAGCTTAAGTACTTTTATTTAGTGTGTTTAGAATGAAGAATTATTCTTCCTTGCTCAGTGAAATGATTATGTAAATTCTGGGATAGTCATATTACAACACATCTTTTTTGTGATTACGTTCAATATAGGATCCTATCATTTAGGCTGGTTTTGAATTCTACACATATTTCAGACTATCACAGTGTCCTAAGTGTTGGGATTATACACATGTGCCACCACACCCAGCTCTAGTATGTTTTTATATATCTTTTAAAATTAGTATCTTTAAGTAGTTGGACAAATGAGTTTCAGTTCTACATATTTTTATATTATCTTCAAGTACTAAGAATTTTTATTTAGATTACCAAGAAGTAAAATGGAAACAAGCAGGAAAAGGTAAATCAGAAGATTAACATCCAAATTCTAGATGAATATTTACTGGACTGTTCAAAATGTATGGTCTTGAATGTTGGATGCTAAAATAGGCAGAGACTATTCATTCTATGTGTAGTATCAAAAGAAAATATATATAAAATATTTTTTATAGCCAGGCACTGGTGGCTCACACCTGTAATCCTAGATACTCAGGAGCCTGAGATCTGAGGATCCCCATTCAAAGCCAGCCCAGGCAGAAAAGTCTGTGAGACTCTTATCTCCAATAAACCACCAGAAAACCAGAAGTGGCACTGTGGTTCAAGCTGTAGAGTGCAAGCCTTAAGCTGAAGAGGTGAAGGACAGCACCCAAGCCCAGAGTTCAAGCCCCACAGCTGACAGTGTGTGTGTGTGTGTGTGTGTGTGTGTGTGTGTTGCATTATAAAGCACATACTAAGTTACTAAGTCATGGCTCTTTTTCAAGCTAAGACTCCCCCCTGCCACGCATTTCCCCATATATCGTCTATTTAAGGGTCTGAAAGACAAATTCTTGGAGGTTTTGCTTCATTCAGGTATATTTTCTTATTAAGTATTCATTTTCCCTAGTAAATAAAATGTTTATCTACATCAGTATTGACCATGTACATATCGTTAAAAGTTAGGCTCACCCACCACATCACTATTCTAAAAAGAACTCTTTAGTAAAAGAGATTGCAAAGTAAACAGCCTCAAATGTTGGATGAGGTAATAGCTTATAAAAACCAGAGGTAATTATTATAATCTTATTACAAATCTAAATCCTGAGAAAAGGAGCTGTTCTGGTAGGCAAAATGGCAGTATATCTTGCATCTTAGCCCTAGAGAAGATAAGGCAGGAAGATGGTGAGCTTGATGCCAACCTTGGCTACGTAACATGTTCTAGACTTGTCTGTGCTACATAATCTGATCCTATATCAACCAAAAAGGAGCATATTAAGAGACTCAAGGAAATATGATCAGTCATTAGCACAATATGCTTTTCTTGGCATAAAAAAAGAAATATAGCAAATTCTCTAATAAGGTACATATTAAGTTGGTTGTGAATTATTTCACTGAAAGATGATAACATAAAATTGCAAGTGGGCACCAGCACAATCATGTTTATTGCAGCACTATTCATTAGGGCTAAGGTAGCCTAAATGCTCTTCAATGGATAAATAGTACATATACACACTGGAATTTTACTCATCTATTAGAAAGAATGCTATTGCATATTTGCAAAGAAAGTAAGTCAGAGCCAGAGAGACAAAGGTTGTGTGTTTTCTCTCATATGTGGAAGCTAGATTAGTTTATAAATAAGAAAGTAAATACTTCAGGCAGGAGGCAATGTACACCAATGTATAAACTAAAATATGGTAGATTCTGAGGAGAACTCAAACCGTGTGACTCCTTAGAAAGAATAAATCAAAGAAAACAAGCACCAGGAAATGAGTACTTGAAAAGGTGTGTATATACGCAGAATGGAATTCTATGTCTCCATCAGAAAGAATGACATTGCGTCATTTGTTGGGAAATGGAAAAACTTGGAAAAAAATCATATTAAGTGAAGTAAGCCAGGCCCAAAGAAACATTGGTCTTGTGGTTTCCCTTATTTGCAATAACTAGTATATGTCTGAGACAAGCGAAATGGTTAGATAAGTTGATGCTAGGCAAAATAGGGACTCAAATGGTTTTTCTTTCTTGCTATTGTTTCTAACATATTTATAAGGTATTTCTTTATTGCTTTGTATGTTCCTCCCCCATGGTATAACCCTTGTTTTCACTGTATTTGATGTCGGTATAATTTGTGGAGGGGAAGGGGAAAAACCAAATTGTTTAAATAGGGATACAGGTGGACCCATTGCAACAATGAGATGTACAAAATGTTATGTCAAAAAACGAACTTTACAACTTTGGAGGGGGGAGATGGGAAGGGATGGGAAGGGAAACAAAGGAGGAGGCAACAATGCTTGATAAGAAATGTACTCATTACCTTGCTCATGTAATTGTAACCCCTCTGAATGGTATTTTCACAATAAAAAAAAGGGTGTGGTGGGGTCTGAGGATAGAATAGTTGAAGAGATAAAGTAGTGGGGAAAGAATGCAGTAAAAATTCAATGTATAAGCCAGGCGCCCATGGCTCCTGCCTGTAATCCTAGCTCCTCAGGAGGCTGAGATCTGAGGACCGCAGTTCAAAGCCAGCCTGGGCACCAAAGTCTGTGAGACTCTTATCTCCAATAAACCACTAGAAAATCAGATGTGGCGCTATAGCTCAAGCAGTAGAGCGCTGGCCTCGAGCTGAGGAGTGCAAGGACAGTGAGCAAGCCCAGTGTTCAAGCCCCATGACCCCCCAAAAAATTCAATGTGAGAGAAGGGGTTGATTGGGTAGAATGGGTAAGAACGTTGAAAGGTGGGAACAGAATTTTCTTTTTGTATAACTAAAGTGTGTACTTTCATGAATTTATGAGAATCATTCAAAAAAACTGAAAGTAGATTGAAATGTATATTTTGCCACTTTGAGAATCAGAAAATGAAAATGGAACAATTAGTATCATGATTGGTACAAGAAAATCATCTCACCAAATGAAAATTCATGTTTGTGAGACTAATAATGTTAGTTTTATTTGAGCTACAAAAGAGATTGTAGGGGCTGGAAGGTGGCTCAGTGGTAAAGCGATTGCCTTGCATGCATGAGGCCCTGGGTCGATTCTCAGCACCACATAAGCAAAAAGAAAAAAGCCTGAAGTGGCTCTGTGGCTCAAGTGGTAGAGTGCTAGCCTTGAGCTGAAGAGCTGAGGGACAGTGCCCAGGCCCAGAGTTCAGGCCCCATGACCCAACCCCCCCCCCCAAAGAGAGAGAGAGAGAGAGAGAGAGAGAGATTGTAGGAGAGCTACAAAAGGAAGACAACAAAACTTGCTGGAGGCTTCTATTCTTTAACTTATGAAGCCATGATTCTTGTAGCACTCTATACATATTCAAAATATATTCTTTTTAAGTCAAACCAACATTGCTCAGTTTCATTGGTGTCTTTAATGCTGATTAACTCCTTTTTATAACCCATATATAACTTACAGTGAGCACTTGTCCAATAGAATATTCACTGGAGAGGACCAAGGAGGTCCCATACCAGAAAGCCAGAGCATACGATGCATAGATCAGTAGGAAAGCAGCACCGATGGAAATGTTGGCTGTGATAGCTTTCCTTATCCCAATTCTCTTTGCGTCTTCTAGATTCTTATTGTACCTGGGAGAAAGAAAAGAAATTATCTCATATGCTTGTAAGGTATGGAAATATGTTGCATGATGGTTATTGAGTAGTTAGAATTTGCTCAACCCTGATGTGTGAGTGTATTTTCTCCTTCTTTCTGACATTGTTATTATTATTTCATTTACTTCTTGCAGAAGAGAAAACTTGAGTCTTAGACTTATAGAGGTATTTATGAGGGAAACTTCTAAAGTTCTTTCTTCTAGCAATAATGAAATAAGTGAAGTAATATTCAACAAGCATAAAATATGTCTTGTTATTTGTGCATAAGACAAAGTAGGAGCCATGGGAAAAATGTCTTATTTACAAAATCAGCATTCATCTTTGATTAATTAACTAGTGATATAATGCTAGAAAGTACGAAACAAGAAAGTTATTTAAATCTCTGTATCTTTAGGAAGCAGTAGAGTTTTACTCCTATTCTGTCTTCTTCAAGGACTGTTGGAAGGACCAGCCAGGCATTAAAGACAACATCAGAGTAAGACTTGATTGCTTATGTGGAAAAAGAGGGAAGAACTGAGAAGCAAAAAGAAAAACGAAGATGATGATACTAAAAAAAAAATCTTATCACTTCTACCTCTCAATAAACTTGTAATTCTTCTCCCACCCTGCTCTGAAATCAGACCTCCATAATCCTTCTCCCCTGGACCACGGCATCAATCCTCCTTTTGGTCCTAGATTCCACCCCTTTGACTGCTTTCACTCACCCATTCATCAAGCCCTTTAAGAAGATACGATCTTAGGAAGTTAAAGGTACTGTCATTCCTTTAACACCTTCATCCCTTTCCTGTGTTCTTGGGATAAATTCCTTACTTTTCTCTTTGGTACACAAGTCCCTTGCATTCTAGTCCTTGGCCACCTGAATCTCCTCTCTTTCAAGTGAGTTCTAGTCACATCAGCTTTGTGGATCTCCTGGACACAGAGAAGTACTTAGAATAAGTACTCAGGAAATCTGGAAGATTCTTCTTCCCAGCCATCCAATCTTAGTTCTCAGCCTATATGAAATCTCAAAGATGTATATACTAATCCACTATATTTAATTTCTCCTCATGTTCATCAGCACACTCACTGATTTTATTTCAAAGTACTTTTTAGAAGTATATAATTTCATGCCTTTCTAAATAATTCCATCTATGACTAAAGTACTTTAGTGTCCCAAGTAATGCTCTAAGTGGTATATTAGATATTTGATAATTTACAATTTACTTTTTCCGTTCTGCTTGAATTTAAGCTTCATAAGAGTATGGGGTTTACTTGAAGAGGATAAAGAAAGGAGTTTAGGGGGAAGGTATAGTGGTAGAAAAACGAAGGAGTGGGTAACAATGTTCAACAACAAATGTACTCATTACCTTACTCATGTAACAACACTTTTATTTTATTATTATTTTGGGGGGGATTCGGTTATGGGGCCTGAACTCTGGGCCTGGGCGCTGTCCCTCAGCTCTTCAGCTCAAGGCTAGCACTCTACCACTTGAGCCACAGTGCCACTTCCGGCTTTTTTCTTTTTGCTTATGTGGTGCTGAGGAATAGAACCCAGGGCCTCATGCATGCAAGGCAAGCGCTCTACCGCTGAGCCATCTTCCCAGCCCCTGTACAACACTATTACAATAAAATTAAATTAAAAAATTAAAAACACATATTAAAATGTCCCCATTGATCTTATGCAAAATATTCATTCAATATTAGATAACAATTGGCTTGCTAGGAAAAATTAGATATATTTAATGTACAATATGAGCAAGGTTATTACTTCTATTTTTTTTCTTATCCTTGAACTCACAGATATAAGGTCTAGAATTGCAATTTTCCAGAATACTAGCAATGTAATAAAACATCCATTAAGTTAGTTACATTTTTTTTTTGCCAGTCCTGGGGCTTGAACTTAGGGCCTGGGCACTGTCCTTCAGCCTCTCTGTGCTCAAAGAAAGGACCCTACCACTTGAGCCATAGCATCACTTCTGGCTTTTTCTATTTATGGGCACTGAGGAATTGAACCCAGGGCTTCATGCCTGCTAGGCAAGCACTCTACCACTATGCCACATTCCCAGACCCTATTCAGTCTATTTTTTATTTAGCTTTCCTTTATGCTGGTTTTATTTTTTTGTATATTTATTTTTTACTGAAAAGATACTGTACAAGGGGTTACAGTTACATGAGCAAGGGTAATGAGTACATTTCCTATCCAGCATTGTTACCTCCTCCTTTGTTTTTTCCCTACCATCCCTTCCCTCCCCTCCTCCCCGACTCTTTCCTCCCCACCCGCTTCACCTCTAGATGTTGTAAAGTTTGTTTTCAACATAGTGTCTTGTACATCTCATTGTTACAATTGGTCAACCTGTATTCTTTGTTATTTCCCTTCCCCTCCCCAAATTAGATAAATGTATATACAAGATGCAGGGTACTGGAATCAAATACAGGGAAAACAGGTGTTATACCATGAGGGAAGAACATACAAAAGAAACAAAAAAAAAATCACATAGTACATTAAATAAATACATTAAAAATATATGGTCATATGTACATAACTTTTGACCTTTTTTGCTTATTCTAGACATATAATAGTTTTGCAAATAAGAGAAACCATGGGACCTGTGTTTCTTTGAGCCTGGCTTACTTGACTTAATATAATTTTTCCAAGTGTTTCCATTTCCTAACCAATGGAGTTGTCATTCTTTCTGACAGAGGCATAGAATTCCATTGCATATGCATATATCTATATATCTATATCTATATCTATATATATATATAAATCACATTTTCTTGATCCATTCATCTACTGAGGGGCATCTGGGTTGGTTCCATGGCAAAGGACATAGCTAGCAAGATCAATAGAAAGCCCATGGATTAGGAGATCTTCACATACAACGGACAAGGGTCTCATATCTAAAATATACTTAGAACTCAAAAAATTAAATCCCCCAACAACAAATCCTCAAAGAAACAACTGCCCGATTAATAAGTTAGCTGAAGACTTAAAGAGAAACTTCTCTGAAGAAGAAATAAGAATGACTAATAGATGCATGAAGAAATGCTCCACCTCTCTAGCCATAAAGGAAATGCAAATCAAGACAACATTGAGATTCCACCTCACCCCAGTTAGAATGGCTATAATGAAGAAATCTAATAACAACAGATGCTGGAGGGGATGTGGCCAAAAGGGAACCCTACTGCATTGCTGGTGGGAGGGTAAACTTGTTCAACAACTTCGGAAAGCAGTATGGAAGTTCCTCAAAAGACTCCACATAGAGCTCCCCTATGACCCAGCAATCCCACTTTTGGCATTTATCCAAACGATCACAAACAAGGCCATACTAAAGCTTACAGCACAACTATGTTTATCATAGCATTATTTACCATAGCTACTGAGAACATTTTAAAAATTAATTCTGCCATCCAGATGGGCACATAAGATGACCCACACTTAACATTTCTACTCTCTACAGAGAGAGGCTCAAACCTTTCAAGTTCTTTGCTTTGTCCACCAAAGGCAATCACAGTTCTGATGGCTGCTAAGACTTCTTCAGCTACTGCCCCAGCTTTTGCATATGCCAAGAGCTCTTTGTCAGTAAATGAAGATAATATCTGTTTAAAATACAAATTGGTATCATTAAAAAATTTAAGTTATAGCAAAACAGATGCTGTTAATATGTTAAAGCATAAAGAATCAAATTCTTCCTTGGGCTGTCTTTTGTTATGATATTCTGTACTTTGGTATAACTCTTAATTCTGTAAACTACTTAAAATTCTTTTTTGTACTGAGATACTACAAAATGATTTAGATTAATTTCAGACTTTTCCACCTAATATATTTCATGGATTCTTATCTAAATATATACTTGAGGTAGGAGGGCGGGGGGAGGATGGGAAGGGTTGGGAAGGGTAAACAAAAGAGGAGGCTACAATGCTTGATAAGAAATGTACTCATTATCTTGCCCGTGTAATTTTAACCCCTCTGTACAGTATGTTCACAATAAAAAATTTTAAAAACTATACTTGAAACTTTTGGGAAATGTTAAATTTTAGAAAACAGAATATATACTACTGCATAATCATAAATATAGAAATATATACATAATATATATAATATGTAGAATATTTAATTATATGTATTTGTGTATATGTATACATGTGTGTATATAACATGTATATTCATAATACATAATTATATATATTATGTAAAGGAAATGTATCGTGTTCTCAATATTCTGGTTCCATTAACCAGTATTAATTGAGAAGAGCTAGAAGCATTATGCTCAGAGTGTAGAAGAATGTAGGAGACCAAGTGACTTCAAGATGTGACTTTTCACAAGCCAGTATAAGCAAACATATTCAGCCACCAGAGAAGTCTTTCTCTCCTAGAAGCTCTTTGAGACTTCTGCTTGGTTCCTGAACACTCACTCGGCTATCTTATGTGCACGAGATCTTATATTTTCTTCTCATTTACATAGTAAAATAGTTATTTATACTGTAGTATATATAAGTACATAGAAGAGCAGTTAAGGAATTTGCTAAGTTTCAATCAGTTTCAGGAGTATATATTGCGACAAATCAACAATTCCTGGAAATAATCTCTCTTGGAAACAAGGTATGGACAGATAAACTATTTATAAAGCTGTTGTGTGGGCAAAATTGGTATGGGCAAAGCAAACTTATTACTTGTACCAAGAAAGCCAAGGTATTCCACCAACTATTAAGAATTACACGTAACTAGTTTATAATACAATTCTGCTTAAACAGTATCACAGTTTTTCAATAGGTAATTTACAGGTATGAGGAGACACCTCAGTTATATGACTATTCCTGCTTGGCATGAAAATAAGTCAAAGTTATTTTGATTTTTAAGAGTACATTTCTTTCTTTCTTCTGTGAAAGCAAAAGAAATCATACAAAGGATACAGGTTGACCCATTGTAACAATGAGATTTACAAAACACTATGTTGAAAATGAACTTTACAACCTCGGCATGGGGGGTGAGTGTAGTTGTGGAGGTGGGAGGGAAGGATGGTAGGGGGAAAACCAAGGAGGAAGCAACAATGCTCATTAGGAAATGTACTCATTACCTTGCTCATGTAACAGTAACCCCTCTGTACAACATTTTTACAATAAAAAAGTACAAAAAATAAAAAATGGGTGGATAATGGAATATGAATATTCATTAATAATGGTCTATAGAGATATATCTGTACTCTTTGGTAACTAAATGATATACCACTGATTCACTAGACCTTCTGGACTTCTGAAAGTCTTTTTCCTAGGGCTGCCCCTCCATTATTTTCTGTTTCACACACAGCACTGGGTCTGAATTAGGATGTCAGTTTCATCCTTGAACAAACCTGTCTGCAGAGCACTGTCAGGTCACGGTAATTGCTTTAGCAATGCTTTTCTGCTCCTCTGAAGCTGAGATGCCCCACTAGAGCTGTCCACATTAGAGCTGGCCAGGAACAGGAGATGGCCAAGAAATACTTTAAATTTAAGATTTCAAAGTGCTATGTTAATGCACTGTTAATATATCATGTGATATACTGAATTCAACAAATCTGACTCTTTTTTCCTTTCATGACATTCTAGAATCCTAAGCAGAAGAGTATGCTGCATACTCTTCACTGTCTTTCTTTTTCCAAGCAATCCTGTCTGTTAAAATAAGGAACTCTCCAATCTTTCCTTAGGTACAAAAAAACTCTTTAAATTATTCTTCCAATATAAAAGAATAGGAGGTAACACTTCAATTATCACGTTTACCTCTAGTACCCATAAAAATGATCACTGACCCAGTCTTTTCTAGAGCCTATAATTCTTATTAATGATTATATAGGCTTGATACACATGGAATAGTTATTTCTTAAGTTAAAAGCTTCTAGTATAGGTACTTTTGTATTGCCCTAATTAATATATTGTGAAGCAATATTTTGGAATACTACTGGACTTTTCACCACAACTTTAAGCCCTTTTCCATTTTCAACATGTTTTTGTTATCATTTAATAATTTTTTATTATTCATTTGTTGTTTAGATATTATTGCAGACTTATGTATAACTGTAGCAAGTAATACAATTGCATGGTATTTACTCCTCATCCAGTGTCCTCCAATAATAAACATCTTGAAAATTACAAAGTAAATACTAATCACAAATTTAACATTGATTTGTATTCATATTCATATATACAAATGTATGTAAAAACAATGAACATTCAGTGTGCATCTTTTGGGATAAGCTTTTTAAAATATATAACACAATGTAGAAATCTATTCAGATTATTGCATGTATCTAGTTTCCATTTCTATCATTGCGTAGTATTCCATAGTATGAATATACGAGTATGTTTAATCATGTCCCTAAATTGTATCAGAAAAATATCCCATATCAAGCAATTAGGATTTAAAGTTGCTATCAAGTATTTGTCATATGTGTGTGTATGTGTTTGTGTGTGTGTGGCGGGGGTTAGCCACTGTCTCTGAGCTTTTGTTAAAGGCCAGTACACTTCCACTTGAGCCACAATTCCACTTCTGGCTTTTTGGGGGTAATTAGAGATAAGAGTCTAGCAAGCTTTCCATTCCTGGTCTGGTTTCAAGCTGCAATCCTCAAATCTCAGCCTCCTCAATAGCTAGGATTATAGGCGTGAGCCACCAGAACATAGTCAGTGCATAGGTTTTTATATCAACATAATTGTCTTTTCTGGCAGATAAATTCTGAGAAAGTGTGGTTGCTGGGTCATATGATAACTACATGTTTAGTTTTATAAGAAACTATCCCACTAGCTATCTATGAGTGATCCAGTTTCTCCATACTTCCTCCTGCATTTGGCAAAACTGTATGTTTTCTTTGGCTATTCTGATGAATGTATGACACCTTACTGTGGTTTAGTTTGCAATGTTGCTGGTGGCAAATGATGCTGAAAAACTTTCCATGGACCTCTCTATCTGTATATCCTCTTCCTAGAAATGTCTGTAAAAATCTGTTGCCCTTTTTCTAATTCGACTGCTTGGTTTTCGTTTTGATTCTTGATTATTGACTTTTAGCATGCTTTATTTATTTCAAATAGTAATTCTTTGTTATATATTATTTTGTTTTTCATTCTCTTTACACTGACTTTTATAAAATGAAAGATTAATTTTAATGAAGTCTAAAATTTTTCTTATTAAAGATGATGCTTTTAATGTCACATTTAAGATCTTTTCCAAGATATATGTTTAAAATATATATAAAACAATATATAAACAGTTTTATTTCTTCAACTTCATATACCTTTATTCTTATTTCATCTATTGTATCATTTACAAGTATCAATGCTATGGTGAAAACAAATAGTGAAAACAAATTCTATTTATCTTATTTTAAATCTTAATGGAAAGGCAATGTTTGGCCTGGATATTTTTTTTCCATTTCTGGTAAAGAATTAATAAAGCACTTTAATAATAGCTGTTTTAAATCATCATCAAGTAAGTCCAGTATCTGATTTATATCAATGTTTGGGTTAGTTAAATGATTGTGTTTTTCCATTCACACTGTGATTTTCTTGGCTGTTTATATGACTTTCTATTATATCCTACACATTTTATCTATTATGTTGATAAACTATGTTGCTTCATTTTAGTAAATGATGAACCTCTTAAGGTTTAACAAGGTATTCAGGTGAGCTATGGCTCCAGTGTTCATTTATTACTCAGAGCCTGTGTTTTCTGTTTGGTTAGCTTGGTTTCTCTGGATTTGTCAAAGTTCCCACTGCCTCTGAGTTCAGCTTCCTGAGGAATATGGTTTCTGAAGGTTAGACTGTCAGGTATCTATTGGTAGGAGAAAAGCAGGGTAATGGTTCCTTCTACTAGCACCTTTCATTATACAAGTAACAACAACCTGTGTTCCTAGACAGAAGAAAGTCTTAGTCACATGGTTTAAAGGAACATCCCAGAGCACACTGCTGGCTATGACTGGGTCTCTTCCTGTTTTTCCTACTTGTCTTGGTGTTCCTGAGTTGGGCAGGACAGCTTGAGCTCAAGGGATAAACAGTCTTTCTATATTATGCTACATAGTTTCTCATTATAATTGGCAATCAGAGAATTTAATAAATTTAAAACAGAATTAGAATTAGTATCAACTCATTTTATGCAGTTTTTCAAAAAATGAAGAGCTTGTACCTAACTTGATTAATGTTCTTGCAAAGAGAAAAATCAATTGAAAACAAGAATTAAAGAACTAGAACACTAGCCTTGAGCAAAAGGGCCCAGGGACAGCACCGAAACCTTGAGATCAAGCCCTACAACTAACCAAAAATATAAGAATTTTCCCCCAAATATTTCAGCTAACAAATAACCACCAGGTACATACTCATACTAGTGTTACTCTGAGTAATATCTTAACAATACCTTAACAAAATCCTCAGATACACATTTTATTTTTTTGTAAAATGAGACAATACCTATATCTTAGACTCAAATGTATTTGCTGGCCAAAGCAGTTGCTTCATAAAGGAAAACTTTGATTTGAAATAAGGAATTGGCATTCACCTTTTAGGGGACAATTTCAAAAACTTCTTAAAACTTATGGATTGACTTATGTCTTATTAAGATAGACTTTGAATAGCTTTCCCTTACTTACATTATCTTGCTACATGCATAAATTTCTGATTCCACTAAGTTATGTAGAACTCAAACAATATAAATAAATAACATCCCTATCAAATACACATACATATATTAAATTATTTTTTAAATGAATTATATGGCTAGGTAGAAAGGGAAATAAGTTTTACAAAATTAGTAGCAGCTGTGTAGAGAGGAAGGACGACTATTTCTCCTGTCCCCATTATGACTGGGAGCAAGAACTGGAAGGTAGGAATTTACATGTGTCCAAGAATAGAGTAATTTGTTTTCATAAATTACTTGGATACTGATGTGTCTAAAAATGTACAACAGAGACATTTACAACTATGATAAACTGTAAAATCAATTTACAAAGTGAACAAGATATATAACCCCCAAAATAAAAAAATGTTGATTGAATAGTATATGAATTGTTCACTGATTTTGAATCTCTTCTTGCTAAATGACTATGGTATTGTCTACCACAGTACACAGATCTTCAGAGTTCACATATCATTTTTTAATGTAAGTTAAGAACTCCTTTCTTCTTTCTCATCAAATGGCAAGGACAACATAAAGTCCTGATTTTTAAACAAAATTTAAGGCAAGTATTGAATACATAATTAAATTTTTTATAGTTAAATCACGTTTTCATGGGGTAATGGTTTAAATCTGAATTCACAAGCTCAACCTACCTTTGCCCATAGGGCAGCTGACAGTCCAAGAACAGGGCTGATGGCCAAAATCACAAGGGTTAGCTTCCAGCCACGTGTAAATCCTACTATAAAACCAGTGAAAAATGTTGCCATTGCTTGAAAGAACAATCCAATCTTGTCACCAATTCCTTCATTAATTTTGGAGACATCACTACAAAAGATAGTGTTAAGAGATCATGTTAGAAATACAAATGCATAATTTTCCAGTTTTGGTTTCGTTTGCTTAAGGTTGGATACATCAGTTTACAGCTAGGACCTATGTATTGCTTGTTTTAACTGGCAGAGTATCAGTTTCTAGTGAGAAGTTGTGTCATTAATAACAGGAATCTACAATAAGCCTCTAAAACTGGGCATGATGCACTGATGTATAAACAGGCAAGGCAGGCATTTTGAAGCACTGGGAAAATTTTCATAATATATTGTATTGTTTTCTATTGCACATTGCCATACTAACACTTTCAGAGTCTTTCTTGATTTTAACAAATGCAATGCTTGCCAGTCATACACCATCTACTCCCATACCCTGAAAGAGTACAAAGGGAAAGAAGGAAGATGAGACATGGTTGCTGCTCATATAAATTTATTTTTGCGATTACTTCTGTGTGAAACACTGGCATTGCTAACAGATCTGATGATACCTATTTCATTTCATGCAGAATAAGAACCAGATTGAAGTTAAACGTTAAACTGGGTACTTACTCTGTGAGCCGGGTGTTAAGCTCTCCCACGTCATGAACATCAAACCAGCCTATCTCTTGTTTCATTATAGCATGAAAAAACTCTTTCCTAATTTTATTAATTTGTCTTCCAGCTGCCAAGCACCAAAATGACACCTGAATGTATGCAGCAACAAGCACGCCAGCACCAATTCCAGTGTAATAATAGGCATACCTAAAAAAGAACACCACACACATTGTTCCATCATAATCAATGTTAATGCCCTCAATAAGATCACCCAGTATTTCTTTTTCAGTTATCTGGATATCTATTCATCTTTAACATATAAAAAGGGGTTGTCAAAAGTTGCTGGTCAGCATTCCACTATGTTTGCACCAGTCTTGGAGGATTGATGAGCAGTGAATTTTGCTTGGCTCAATTCTCAGCTATTGTGTAATATTAGGACAGCTGCCTTTCCTTCCTGCCTGCCTTCCTGCCTTCCTGCCTGCCTACCTACCTACCTGCCTGCCTGCCTGCTTCCCTACCTTCCTACCTTCCTTCCTTTCTGCTTCTTTTGCTTAAGGTGAGCACTCTAGCCCTTGAGCCACAGTGCTGCTTCTGTCTCTTTTTTTTTTTTTTTTTTTTTTTGCTTTTTTTGTAATTTATTGGAGATAAGAGTTTCATAGTCTTTCCTGCACGGGTTGCTTTGATTGGCGATCCTCAAACCTCAGCCTCCTGAGTAGCTAGGATTACAGTTTGCCTAACCTTTTTAAAGGCTCAGATTTCTAATTAGTAAAACAGAGGCTGAAAAAAGGCAACTGGGTGCAAGTGATTGACACCTATAATTCTAGCTACTCAGAAGGCTGAGATATGAGATTTGAAGCCAGATTGGGAAGAAAAGACTCTTATCCCCAATTAACTACCAAAATATATCATAAGTCAACCTGTGGCTCAAGTAGTAGAGCACAAACCCTCAACACTAAAGCTCAAGGTCAGTGTTAAGTCCCTGACTTTAAGCTCCATAGCTGGCACTAAAAAAAAAAGTAAGGCAGTAATGTGAAAAATATATTTAGGCTAGTGCCTATCATACAATAAATATTCAGAGAACGACAACAATTATGAGAGATTATGTAATGGGAAGGGTGGCATCAGGTGAGATCTGTAGTCTTGTCTGCTTTTATTATATCTGCATTGACAGATCAGCCCTATTGGGGTAGACTCTGCACATTGTGTAATGTAAAGAAGCAACAAAATTTGTCAGAAAGTAGAGCCAAGAGATGCAAATGGTCCCCCAGTCTTTGGAGCTGGTACAGCTTAGATGTTGTCACAACTGAAAAATAGAGCTATTTGTACGTTTTCCAAACTGACCGACTGAACTAAAATGTAACTTTACCTTTTAAATCTCTACCAATTTAACACATAAACAAGTCAGAACCAGAAAGATATTTAGATAAATATGATCTGATTTTTATAAAGGTTGAATTAGTGTTTCCTTGCTGTATAGTTCCAGTTAGAAAGAAATCATTCTTGGGTTTCACTAAGAAGTTATTGTTTAGATAAAGGCAGACATTCTATAATAAAACATTTTCAAATTCTCTTCTTGCTGACTTCTAACAACATGTGTATCATGCAGAAGCTGTAAATTTGTTATATTATTGCTCACAATTCTTTGTACATTCCATCAGGGATCATACTTTTTTTTTTTTTAAGTTGGTCATGGGGCTTGAACTTTGGGCCTGAGTGCTGCCCCTCAGCTCTCTTTGGCTCAAGGCTAGCGCTCTACCACTTGAGCTACAACGCCACTTCTGGATCATACTTTTTAAGCATCTTTTCTACAGCTAAATTTTGTAATTTACAAATTATCACAGGAGCTATAATTAGAAAATTGAAATAACTTAATATATATTTATATATTAAAATAATAAAAATATATAATAAATAACCATAAAATAAAATATATATTATATAAAATATATTGAATAATATAAAATATTGTATAATACAAAGCATGTTATCAGATATAAAATAACAAACATACGTTTACTATTATATGTTATATAATATATTCTTATATTACATATAATTATAATATATAATATTATTATATAATATGCAATATGTCATATTATAATGTTATATTTTATACTTTATTATATATAATAAATATATTTATATTTAATATAATTATCTATCGCTAATTATTATCTGAGCATATAGTAATATACTATAATATGATATAGTAAGAGAGAATAAAGAGGAATCCTGTTTAAGAAAAAAATATGCTTTGAGAAGCAGCACTTTATTTTAACATAATAGTTTTTGAACAACTAAGATACTCTAATTTTCCCAACATAAGAAACAATACCTTTTTACAAGAATAATTGGGGGTATTTTATCCTCATCTTTCGCCACTTTTTTTCAAAACTATCTGATCATCTATTGGATAACGTAAGATCATTCTCATCTGAATCACTAATACCTACCTTTGAACATCTGTTATAAGCTATTTTTAGGAGTAAACTTCATGATGTGTAAATCATTCATGAAAGTTTCTTGAGTTGAGTTTAGACTATCTTTCTTCTGGGATGTTTTACCTTACTATGCAGTAGTAGATACTGAGTTAAGCAAAGTCATCTTGGCTGATCTTATCATATCATGAATAAAAGTAAACATGACATAAACTAATATTGCAGAACAACTGAAAATGATATTCATAATTCAATTATATTTTCAAAGACAGAAGTTCTAGAATTTCTTTGTATATTTTATTTCTATATTTGTGAATGCACACATTATCCCAATTTAAGCTAAACTTTAACATTAGCACATTTTTTGCAGCAAACATTTTCCTTTAAAAACATTCTACATTTGTATCCCCCTTGAAAACAAAGAATAGTATTGTTTTCCTCAAAATTTCAGGCAATGCTATCAGTAGATGAATGCAGAAAAGTTTAATGAAACAACAGTAAGAAAAATGTCTAATTACTTGGTCATGTCTTGTTCCAATTTTTCCAGGATATCAGTTTTGTTGAGATAGACATTACCTAAAATATGATAAAACAAACATATACCATTATGTCTCCTTTGTCTCCAGTCAATTTCAGCATATACAAATGAATCACACACATTTTCATTAATATTTTGGATTAAAAAATAGGTCAAATTGCTTTGCTTTTAAGCATTATGGCATCCATTTAAATACACCCCAACTGCCTCTGTGCAACTACGGACAGATTAAATGGAATTGTGTTCATCTACAAAAAGAAAATTTTATTAATAAATGAATATTGAAGTATACATAAGTCAGGACCTCATGTTCTTGCTGAGCATTTTTTTGGGGGGTCCTGTCTTGGGGCCTGAACTCTGGGCCTGGGCGCTGTCCCTCAGCTCTTCAGCTCAAGGCTAGCGCTCTACCACTTGAGCCACAGCGCCACTTCCGGCTTTTTTCTTTTTGCTTATGTGGTGCTGAGGATTCCAACCCAGGGCCTCTGGCATGCAAGGCATGCGCTCTACCACTGAGCCACCTTCCCAGCCCCATTGCTGAGCATTTTTTAATAACTTTTTTATTGTTAAGGTGATGTACAGAGGGATTTCGGTTACATATGTAATGAGAACATTTTTTGTCAAACATTCTGCATTTGTATCCCCCTTGAAAACAAAGAATAGTATTGTTTTCCTCAAAATTTCAGGCAATGTTATCAGTAGATGAATGCAGAAAAGTTTAATGAAACAACAGTAAGAAAAATTTTTAATTACTTGGTCATGTCTTGTTCCAGTTTTTCCAGGATATCAGTTTTGTTGAGATAGACATTACCTAAAATATGACAAAACTGCAATCCGCCGATCTGGGAATCATGAGTAGCTATGATTATAGGCAGAAACCACCAGCACCTGGCTATATCTCTACATTTTTTAATTTAAAAATTATCATATACGAAGAATAGTATGATAAAAACAATTGAATGTCATCCAAAATTAACAAATACTAACATTTATGAATTAAGTATGTTAAAAATTCCTTCTAGTAAAAGGTGCCAGTGGATCATGCCTGTCATCATTGCTATTTAGGAGGAGGAGAATGCAAGAATGGTTTTTTGAGACGAGCTCATGCAAAAGGTTCTAAAGACCCTATCCCAGCTAACAGCTAGATGTGATGTTGTTCTACCATCTCCTCCTTGACAAGGACTATAAATAGGACTGTGGTCCAGACCACTCCTTGAAAACAAACAAAAAACTCAAAAAAAAAAGTCACAACAAAACACAGCATATTTGAAAAATAATGAGAGCAAAAGGGATCTATTGGTAGACCACCTAACAAAATCAAAGCTGGAGTTCAAAATCTAATTACACACACACTCAAATTTCTCATAATCTTGTGCCTCCCCATAAATATGTACAACTAGTGTTCTAACATTTTTGTAGATTTTTCTTTTATGTATATAGGTATATGCCACTACAAATACAAATACAATACAAATTTAGGTTAGTTTCAGGTTTTGCTTTGCTATTTTTGCAGAGCTAAGGACCAAACTCAAGGCTTTGCACTTGCCAGACAAGTCCTTTTCCACTGAGCTACATCACTGACCCCTTAATTTTGTTGTGTGTGTGTGTGTGCTTTTTTGCTGTTTGTGTATATGTGTGTATGGGCATGCACTAGGGCTTAAACTCAGGACCTGAGAGCTATTCCTTAGTTTTTTCAGCTAAAGGCTAGCACCCTACCACTTGAGCCACAGCTCTATTTCTGGCTTTTTGCTAATAAATTGAGTTTCACACGATTTTTCTTCCTAGGCTGGTTTTGGACCAACAGCCTTAGAGCTCATCCTTCTCAGTGGCTTGGATCATAGGCATGAGCAACCAGAAACTGTTTCCATTTAGTTTTTGTTGTTGTTGTTGTTGTTTGGGTCCGGTTGTGGGGCCTGAACTCTGGGCCTGGGCGCTGTCCCTCAGCTCTTCAGCTCAAGGCTAGCTCTCTACCACTTGAGCCACAGTGCCACTTCCAGCTTTTTTTTTTTGCTTATGTGGTGCTAAGAAATCCAACCCAGGGCCTTATGCATGCAAGGCAAGCGCTCTACCACTGAGCCACCTTCCCAGCCCCTCCATTTAGTTTTTAAAACATGTAATGTCATTTTACATCCAATGGCCAATTTCCCATGTCAATATTTGAATATACCAATTTTTTCATTTCATTTTTGTTTCCAACATTTTACTGTTAGAAACAATGCTACAATAATACACTTGTGAAGATATACATGTGGCGCATATTTTACAAGCTAGATTATTATAGTCAAGAGTGCTGGACCAATGGGGAGGCACATTTTAAATCTTGCAGCCAGTGTAAAAACCTAGAGTATAGTAATTGAAGGCCTTGTTCAGAGAAGTCTACTTGTCTATCCTATCAGGAAGTCGGATAGGGAAAAAAAAAGAAAAATATTTTTAGAAGAGTAAGAAATGCTATCAGAAAAGGTTTATAGCGTATTTGGAACATGAAGAAGCCCATTTGGATGTGATATAGGGTGTAGTGTATGGATATAGTGAAGTGGACACGTGGGTAGATATGGTAAATGCATATAGATTAGCAAATATTCAGTGGTTTGTTTTGAGTTAAAGTGGATATAATTACAAGTGTGGTTGAGGATAATTTAGCTTTCAACCATATATAAGATTATTAGGAATGGGAACTAAGGAAATTTTGCTATTTTAATTATACAGGAACAGAAAGTCTGAATGAGAAAAGAAAAGAAGGAAAATATAAGATTAAAAGAGGAAGAAGCAAAAGCCAGGTGCTGGTGACTCACACCTGTAATCCTAGCTACTCAGGAGGCTGAGATCTGAGGATCACGGTTCAAAGCCAGCCCGGGCAGGAAAGTCCGTGAGACTCTTATCTCCAATAAATGACTAGAAAACCGGAAGTGGCGCTGTGGCTCAAATGGTAGAGTGCTCACCTTGAGCTGAAGAGCACAGGGACAGCTCCCAAGCCCAGAGTTCAAGCCCCACAACTGACAAAAAAAAAAAAAAAGGAGGAAGAAGCTACAACACTTAGCCACTGATAGAATAAAGTAGAAGGTAAAAGTGATCAAGACCTCAAGCCCAAGCACTTGAAAAATGAAGGTGTCTTGGCCAAAAATATGTCCACCTAAGGAGAGGTGGAAAGACAAGAGAAGATACTAATTAGTTCAGTCTTCAGCATTTTATATCATAGTGCCTAAGACTTTAACCATAAATCTCCAGTAAGTACTCAGAGTGTGGCCCTCCAGTTCTAGAGAAAGTTTACATGTAAAGACTTAGAAGTCATAGGCCAGAGGCTGGAGCTAAATTCAGGATTGAAAAATTCCACCTTCCCTTATACCTGTGAGTACAGGGTGACAGATACAGGGAAAACAGCAACCTCAGCCAGAACCCACAGGGAAAGGATATTAAAGGAGAAGGCAGAATGTAAGAAAGCAATGAAAGAAATACAGAGGCCTAGCAACAGATGGAGGAGATTATTAATTGCTTCACTTTATGAGAGCACCATCAAAAAAGTGTACGAGCTTAAATTTTTATTTAAATGAATTCAGACCTCAACTGAAACATATTTTCAAAAATAAAACAAAATATATAATTACCAGTTAAGGATATTTCTCTTAATAAATTTTGTAAAATCCATTGTGTATTTTTTTAGCTTCTCTATCTACTCAGGAAACATTTATAAATAGCAATAGTTGTCATAAGTATGGTTTACTACCAATCAAGATGCATTTTCAAGTCTAACAGAATACACGTTTTTTCCCCTTTGCTATGCTAGGTTGAATATCACTTACTTAAATTTCTTATGACTAGATACTTCAAATTTTGGATTTTTCAGAATTTGGAATATTCACATAGATTTTTATCACCTGAGCATCTCTAATCCAAGTCCAAACTCCCAAATGAGGTTTGATGTTCAAAGTTTTAGATCTCAGAACATTTTAGGTTTTCAGATTGGCAATGCTTAACTTATACTAATTTTCTCAATTCTATACATAATTGACCTAGAAGATTGACACAAATGGTCTTTAGCAATGGGAGCCTCTGAGTTACTTTCATGGGGTTCAAAAAGTTAATCTCTATATATTTCAGGGCAAAATCTGATCCTCTGTGTTTGTATATACAACTATGACACCCCTGATACCAAGTTCCTTTGCTTCAGCAGGGTCAAAGTACAGTAGTCAGAATAAAACTTGGGCATAATCTACTAACAAAAGAAAGAATGAAAATATACTATTCTTCAGGCCTCCTTTAATCATCAGTTCTTTTCAATCAACCTCTATTAATTGGTAGTTCACAGGCATACATTATTTCCCTCCGCTATGTAGCCTTCACAAAATCTTTTTGTGGAGGGCTGGGAAGGTGGCTCAGTGGTAGAGTGCTTGCCTTGCGTGCATGAGGCCCTGGGTTCGATTCCTCAGCACCACATAAGCAAAAAGAAAAAAAGCCGGAAGTGGTGCTGTAGCACAAATGGTAGAGCACTAGCCTTGAGCTGAAGAGCTGAGGGACAGTGCCCAGGCCCAGAGTTCAGGCCCCATGACCAGATCCCCCCCCCCAAAAAAAATGTTTATGTGGAGACAGGCTTCATAAATTCAAACTTCCCAAGCTAAAATAACCTTAGAGAACACACATTTCAGTAACTTATAAAAAGTTAGTTATAAAAGTAATGTAGGCCAGGTGCTAGTGGCTCATGCTTGTAATCCAAGCTACTCAGCAGGCTGAAATATGAAGATTGTGCTTCAAAGCCAGCCCACACAGGAAAGTCTATGAGACTCAGAAGTGAAGCAGTAGATCATAGGGCTACTTCCCAAACCAGATCAATACTAGATCAATACTAATCTAAAATAAATCTTTAATGGGAAAAGCCAGAATCTCTTTGGGTAATATAGTAGAAGTAGCCAAAGTAGGAAAGCTAACTGTAACTTAGCTTAATTTAAAAACAAATGCAGACTATTAGCTAGTTTCTTTCTTTTAGATGGAGATAAAGCATAATATAGCCAGGTACCAGTGGCTTGCACCTGTAATCCTAGCTGCTCCGGACTCTGAGATCTGAAGATCACAGTTCAAAGCCAGTTTGGGCAGGAACATCCATGAAATTCTTATCTCCAATTAACAATCAGAAAACTGGAAATGGAGCTGTGGCTCAAGTAGTAGAGTGCTTGCCTTGAGCTGAAGAGCTGAAGAACAGTGCCCAGGCCAAGAGTTCAAGCCCCACAACCGACATAATATAAATGTTAATGGTGATCAAAGAAAACACCAAGTGTTATCAACGTAAGTGTTACAGGTTCGGTATGACATGTCTCTCCCCAAAGTCTCAAGTATGTAAGTGTAGGTTTCCATCTCACAGATGTAAAAGTCAAGTATTGGATTATAATGGCTCTGACCCAATCAGCAAATTAATCACAGATGGATTCACAATTTAATGGTACTATTGGAAAGTGATGGAAATTTTCTGAAGTGTAACCTAATTGGAGGAAATAGGTCAATAGGGGCACACATTTAATGGCATTTTGTCCCTGGCCTATTCCAATCTATTTCCTGGCTACCGTAATATGAGCAACCTCTGTAAAACATGTTCCTGTTATAATATTCAGCCTTGTCTGCAGCCCAAAGCAATGGTTCCAAATGATCTTAGATTGAAACACCTGAAGCTGTGGGACAAATAAATCATAATTTTGTTGTTAGTATTATTGTTATTGTTCTGCTCAGCCATTTGGGCTTTATCTCCAACTTGGTCTCACCTTTGCCTTCAGGAATCATGACCCTCCTGCTAATCCTTCAACATAGCTAGGATTATAGTAGTAAAAAACAATGGTTGGACCTTTGTTAATATAGGGTCTTTCTAACATTTTGCTAATGCTGGCCTCTAAATATGATCCTCCTGACTGCTGTCTCCTGAGTAGCTAGGATCTCAGGCATGAGCCGGTGAACCTCGCCCTTTTCCTTTTTCAAATTCTTTCACCCAAGTATTTATCACAGTGACAAAAAAAAAAACATGACAAATACACAAAGTTAGTTTATTTTGACCCACTAGAGATCAGCAACGTTTACTTCAGAAGGTCTGCTCTTTCAAGGCTAGGCCAAGCTCCAGTAGTTGATTAATAACTTACAATTTCCTTCTTTTTTGTAATTGAAAAGGTGATGAGTGGGGGGGGGGGTACATTTACACAAGTAACAAAATGAGTTTTTAAACACTGTTACCCCATCACTCATTTTCTTCAGCTTACTCCTCCCCATTCCCCTTCCCCGCAAGTTGTAAGGTTCATATCCTGCTGTTTCTGATTCCCTTTCCCTTCCACAGGTCGAATAAACTTATATACAAGACACAAGGTACAGAAAAAGACACGAGGTACAGAAAACTAAGAGAAATGAGAAAAAAAAGAAAGAAAAACTATATAAGTCTATGGCATTTTTTAACAGGAGATCTCAATAACCCAATTGCTTTGTGCATAAGACCATATACAATAAAGCATATTAACATAAACTCCAAGATATGGGTCAAGAGGTTTTTATTACAATTTCTTCTTGATAGATGTGTTCAGCAGCTACCCTAAATGTACTGTGCAAAAAAGCACAGAATAATGAGTGAACACTACTCATGCTGTTAGAACAGTGTTGTGTTTAGACTTCATTAAAAAATTGTAGGTTCAGAATAGGCCAAAAGACACAGATTAGGTCTACTCAGCTACTGGACAGTATTGAAATATCTGATTATTCTGAAGAAAACCAGTAAGAGAGCTAACAGAACAGGAAGTTAAAACATTTAGGTGTAGAAGAACCAGTGAATTCAAGGAACATGCTTTGATGAACTATGTAATAGAAAGGTACAAGGTAAAATTGATATAGCAGCCAGTTTCTATTGGCCATGGCTAAATTCCTAGTTACCCAAGGGACTAAGATATAGAGCATCAAGGCCCAAAGCCCTCCAGACCCCACCCACCCTGCTCCAAACCCTTCAGTATTCTATCTCCAAAATAACCTGCAAAGTTATGTTATGGCTCAATCTGTAGAGGTCCAGCCCAACAAGCAACTGCAAGGCCTTGAGTTTAATCCTTGGTACTAGCACCAAAATAAATCAGGGTAGAGAAACCATTTGTAGTTTAGTGGAAAGCTTTGGAAGAACGTAACAAAAGACTTTTACATAGCTCAAGCCTACTATATATTTTGGGGCCCAATTTACTACTTTCTTTCATGAAACTGAAGTCAGCCTCCTTCAATGTGAACAACAGATTCTCAGCATCACAAAATATTGGTTTCCAGAATCTGTGAACAAGTGTCAAAGTTCGAGGTGGAACCCAAATTGCATGAGCATTGATGTGCATTTTGTTGGGGACATATTCATAGCATCAAGACTTCAAGTTTCAGCTATTGATATCTATGGCCCTGGGATGGATCAGCAGCACCAATTATTTATAAGCTAAGTGGCAACTCTATATTTTCAAGAGCTTTCCAAAACAGGCATTTGAAACATTTTTCACTCTCAAGTGCAAAGAGAGTTGTAAGGCATTGAGTAGTTTGAATCTATACTTAAGCAGAGCTGACTTGAAGACTGACAGTGAGATATATGGACCTACATCCCACACAATTACTCTGTGTGTGGTGTGTTATGAATTATTTCTGATTTATTCATTCTCCCACTGTCTTAGGGAGTTGTTCACATCTCCTTTATTATCAGCCAAAAATATTATATTTTTACTTAGGAAGACCCTTACAAATGTCATTGTTACAATATTTTTTATGTATTGGGTTTTTTTTAACTTAGAGCATAGAAGTATAATACTGAAACCATATACCTAGCTCTATTTTTATTCTTTTACTTTTCAGCTAAGGTCTTTCTTTTCCTCAGAATGTGATCATCCTACCTCCATAAACTGGGTTTTTTTTTTATTGTGAAAATACTGTACAGAGGGGTTACAATTACATGAGTACATTTCTTATCAAGCATTGTACCCTCCTCCTTTGTTTCCCCTTCCCATCCCTTCCCATCTTCCCCTCGCCCCCCCCACCCAATCCTCCTCCCCTCTCCCCGCCACCCAATCCTCCTCCCTCCCGCCCTCCCCCCCGACCAGAGTTGTAAAGTTCGTTTTCGACATAACAACTTGTACATCTCATTGTTGCAATGGGTCCACCTGTATTCCTAGTTGGGGTTTTTGACATGATCAGCTTTATAATTCAGTGTGATTGCATGGCTGACCTGAATCATTCATCTCCCAATCTCTACCACCTATGTAGCTGGGATTATTGGCATGAGGACTACACCAGCATTTAAAATGGGTGGTTTCTACAAGTTTCTAGGACATTTGTATCACAAACAGTACTTACTTTGAGTAGCATTTGGCAAACTACTTCCTGCATTTGCAAAGCTATCTGTCATTTCTCCAAATACCAGCATCATGATCGGGAGTGCAGCTCCATGGATAACAGCAGCCAAAGTTCCCAGGATCATATACAGCCTGTCGAGCCAACCTGCATAGCGAAACTAGGAGAGAAAAAAAGGAACATCAGAGGCCATTTGTGTGTGTGTATGTGTGTGTGTGTGTGTGTGTGTGTGTGTGTGTGTGAATGATTTGGTCTCCCTTTAAAATCATTGGTAAATCCTAACATTTTCACAACACTACTATTACTATTCTAGATTAAGCACCCCTCTATCTTTGTTAATCGTTAACTATATAATCAGATTGAGTTCTGACCTAACTCTTCCAATTGGGCTCTATTTGTCCATTATGTGAGATCTGATGAGAATTATAGGTCTTTTCTGAAACTCCAGGAAACACATTGTATTTTTGTTCTGGTTTCTAAGAATAGAGGTTAGTTTTCATCTCACAGGAAAACATGAAATGCCAAAGGAAACCACTGTGGAAACATTCTTAAAACAAAATCACTTAGGTTAAATGCACAAGGTAATTAGCATAAATGTAAAATAACTTTTAGCATAATTAAGCTTTAGTAATGGAGGAGGCAGAGAACAAGAATGAATCCCATTTCAAGGAATATTTTTTTTCTGAGAAGTAAAACATGATCTTAATGAATGACCAGCACAGATCTGCAAATTTCCTTTTATTATAGACAACTCATAAGAAGATAAAAAGGCTTATCTAGACTAGAAAAATGAAAGGAGGAGACACAGTAAGAAAAATGGACTCATAAGTGGAAAAACCTCCCATGCCCCTGGATTGGGAGGATCAACATCGTGAAAATGGCAATACTGCCAAAGACTATCTACAAATTCAACGCAATACCCATCAATATCCAAACCTCATTCTTTAATGAAATAGGAGAAGCAATCCAGAAATTCATATGGAACAATAAAAGAAAGCAAATAGCAAAAAGAATCCTTAGCACTAACAACAGTGCTGGAGGAATATCAGTACCAAACTTCAAACTATTACAAAGCCATAGTAACCAAAACAGCTTGGTACTAGCACAAGAACATTCATTCCTGAGGACCAATGGAATAGAACTGAAGACCCAGAAACAAACCTGCAGACCTACAGCCACCTAATCTTCAATAAGGGAGCCAAAATAATAGGATGGAAGAAAGACAAATGCTTGAGTAAATAGTACTGGAAAAATTGGTCAAACACCTGTAGAAAACTAAAGTTAGATCCTTGTATATCACCCTGCACCAGAATCAACTCCAAATGGATCAAATACCTCAAAGTAAAAGCAGACACCCTGAAAACATTACAGGAAGGAATAGGAGAAACTCTAGGGCTCCTTGGCATAAGCCAAATTTTTCTTTTAAAAGACCTAGAAGCACAACAAATCAAAGAAACATTGGACAAATGGAATTGCATGAAACTGCAGAGCTTCTGCAAGGCAAAGGATATAGCTAGCAAGATCAATAGAAAGCCCATGGATTGGGAGAAGACCTTCACTAGCCATACAATAGACAAGGGCCTCATATCTAAAATATACCTAGAACTCAAAAAATTAAATCCCGCCAAAACAAATCCTCAAAGATACAACTGTCCATAAATAAGTCGGCTAACGACTTAAAAAGAGATTTCTCTGATGAGGAAATAAGAATGGCCAATAGACACATGAAGAAATGCTCAACTTCTCTGGCCATAAAAGAAATACAGAACAACATTGAGATTCCATCGAACCCCAGTTAGAATGGCTCTAATCAAAAAATCTAATAACAGAGCTGGAGGGGATGTGGCCAAATGGGAATCCTACTGCACTGATGGTGGGAGTGTAAACTTGTTCAACCACTCTGGAAAGCAGTATGGAGGTTCCTCAAAAGACTCCACATAGAGATCCCCTATGATCCAGCAATCCCATTTCTGGGAATTTACCCAAAGGATCACAAACAAGGTCATACTAAAGCTACCAGCACAACTATGTTTATCACAGCATTATTCATCATAGCTAAGATATGGAACCAACACAGATGCCCCTCAGTAGAATTCTATGTTTCCGTCGGAAAGAATGACACTGTCCCATTTGTTAGGGAAGAGCCATATTAAATGAAGAAAGCCAGACCCAAAGAAACAGATCCAATGGTTTCCCTTATTTGCAATAATTAGTATATGTCTAGGATCTTAACAGGTGACAGAATAGTTCAATAGCTACGTACATATGACGATATAAGATGATGCTAAGTGAATGAACTCCAAGACATGGACACAGAGGTTTTTCTTTGTTGGGGTTGTTTTTAATTTACTATGTGATTTTTTTATTTCTTTTGTATGTTCTTCCCCCTATAGTATATCCCCTATTGTCACTGTATTTGATTTTGGTACCCTGGTGTTGTATATACATTTATCTGAATTCGGGAAGGGAAGGGGAACAACAAAATGACGAGACAAAGGACAAGGGAGAAACCAATGCGACAGCCATAGTCACAAGACAATGTGTTGGAAATGATCTTTACAGCTTGGGGAGGGGGCGATTGGAGAAGGAGGGAAAGTAGGAGAAAAATGAGGGAAGGGGTAACAAGTTTGACAAGAAACGTACTTATTACCTTACTTATGTAACCCCTCTGTACATCACCTTGATAATAAAAAAAAAAAAACTATTTAAAATGGACTCACAACACACCTGGGAAACAATTACCATTTCTCCTGTATAAATCAAGGGACTTGAAAGAGATTGAAAGAAAAATCATGTCGAAAAACGAACTTTACAACTTTGTGAGGGGAAGGGCTGGGGAAGGGAGGGGGAGGAGTTGAGAAGGGATGGGAAGGGGAAACAAAGGAGGAAGCCATAATACTTGATAAGAAATGTACTCATTGCCTTGCTCATGTAATTGTAACCCCTCTGTACGGTATTTTCACAATAAAAAAAAAGAATAAGAAAAATCAAAGATTACTCAAGTGGACCCAATGTAATCGCATGGGTTAGAGTGTATCCAAGAGGGAAACAGGGGGCTCAGAATAAGCAATAGAAGTGTGGAGTGATGCAAGGAGTGGATGATGGCCTAGAAATGCAAGCTCCCATCTGAAAGGTTAAAAAGGAAGGAAACAGATTCTCCCTCAGAACTTCCAGAAAGAATACAATACCGCTGGCATGATGATTTTAGCCCAGTAAGACCTCACTTGCTCCATAACTGTAGGGTAATAAATTTATCTTGTTTAAACAATTAAGTTAGTATTTTTCTGGGTAATAAATGTATCTTGCATAAGCAATTAAGTTAGTATTTTTCTGAATTATTGATCGGAAATGAACACACAATGTCCAAAGGAAGGCCAAAGCTATGAAGAATCAGAAAGCTGAAAACTAATATATATGAGCCTATGGTCATTCATACATAGAATTTGTCCGGACAACTTATAGTGGGAAGCAGGTACTGATAAGGGTGGGAAAGTATTCAAAGATCAGATGGCCAGAAGATAACAACCTAAAGACTTTATCAATACTAGACTGGTAACAGTTTAATTATAAACTAGCAAACAATCACAGTTCTTAAAAACAATTAGGCATATCTAGACAAAATCTAAGCCTTCCTCCATAATAGTTATGTGTCTCTGTGTGTCTTGAATATGTTCCTTAACTTCTTTGAATCTGTTTCTTCCTGTGGGATATAATGGACATGACATAAGAAAAAGCCATTTGAGTACTAGCCCACTTGATCAAAACTCCAATAATACAGTCCTACTATCATGGTCCCGCTATGTAGCCTGAGTCAGTTAATTTCTGGCCTCTATATAACAACAGGCTTTACCTAAAAGAGATGTTTAAAGATGAAATATAAGTATTTACAACTATGCCTGGCATACAGTACTATGTGTTTATGTGTGTGTTTGTAAATATGTGTATGTCCATTCTAAATCCAGACATTTATTCCTTGACCACAATATTAATAGTAATGTTACATGTCCTAACATATAAGAATTTTGCATTCTAAGTTGAGCACTATGGTTCAAGTAAGTGACTATTTTTAAAAACTGGAGCTTCTCATATCTAAAATCATAGTACTAAAGAGGCTGAGACAGAGTCAGAAGTTATAATCACAGTGACTGAGGATACAGGGAATAGGAAGGATTATGGTTCAACACCAGCCGAAGCAAAATGTAAGACCTCCCCATCTCTACTAATAAAGTTGTGTATGGTTGCTCACACCTATCATACCAGCTATGCAAGAGGCTTATATAAGAAGACTACAGTTGGGCCAGGGGAAAAAATCCTGACACCTAATAAAAAAAATAATTGAAGAGAAAAGGGCTGAGAATATGGTTCAAATAGTACAGTGCCTGCCAAAGTCTTGAATTCAAGTAGTAGTACAGTCCCTGCCTCCCCACCAAATAATGTAAAGTGAAATCAGTCAGGCACCAAGAAACAAAGGATACATGCTTTTTCTCATATGTGTAAGCCCAAACTACTTTATAAGTATACAAAAGTAAACAAAATAGGGTTATATGCGGTATACATAAAATTTTTCACCAAAATATGGTATTTTCAGGGAAGAATTCAAACGTGTAATTCCATAGAAAAACCAGCACACAGTCTAACAAAATGAATTCCAAGAAAGTGGGGGGAGATAAAAGGGAGGAGGGCAGAAGAATGAAAAAAGGAAGCTAGAGAGAATGAAGTCATAATATTTGGATATCCTCCAAATTAAGAAAATTGAAAGGGGGGGAGTTGGGTTGAGAGGTATCCGGGAGGCTGATGAACAAGGTGACTTCCATCAAGATATATTATACTCATAAACTGATTTGTTGAGGGGTAATGCCTTTGTACAACTACGTAACAATAATAAAAATATAAAATATAAAAATATAATTCTAAAAATAATATGCAAAATAACTGTGTAGTCTTAAATGTTAACATGTTTCAACTACCTTCTATTTAGTAAAACAGTATTCTCTTATAGCTGATAGAACAAACAAATAAATATATCTTGCATCTATGATAACTGCATATTGATTTTAACACACAAACTTCATGAATGCATGTGATCCAAAATACATTTATCATTCTACTCTAAAACCAAAAATGAAGCAAAAAAAACCCTTAAGTTATCTAAAAAAATTAACCTACAAATATAGGACTGGAAGGGAAGCTAAACGGTAGAGCATGTGCTCAGAGTCCTCAATTGCACAAAGTAGTCATCCTGTGAATGATTACTATGATTTTTCTCCAATAATTACAAAAAGATCGTAGAGATGGAATAAAAGGAAAGCTGTAGCACAAAGAGATAAAGATGGCACAAGATATGCAGAGTTCTCAGTATAAAACTCACATTGCAGTCTTCCTACCTATAACCATTTTCACATTCAATTTAGAAAAATAAAACTATTTTAAATGGCAATCTACACATTTCTCCCTGCTTTAAAAACATCTATCATACAATGAGGAATTCTAAAATGTGTGCCTCAAGATTTTATTGATTCAGTAGTCTCCTGAGTTCCAGTCACTAGAACAGTGTACCTAAATTCATCTAAGTTCACACTCTTAGTCAATACCATGCATCCATAAAATTCCTGTCTTATTCCAGGTGGGATTAAAGAAGATACTCAAAATAATCACCATGGTAGAAGAAACTGAAATAAAGAGTTAAGGTATTCAATTTTTTTTTATATTTCAGCCCTTCACCAAGAGGAATAATGGCATATGCCAATTCACAGTAATAAATAATCCATTGTTGCCTTTAATTTTATGGGTGCTTTGGACTTCAACCTCAGGCCAATCAGGATTGCAGAGCCATTAAGGACAGTACACAATGAGGAAGGTTCTTTCTAGCCAGATGGCTAAGTGCATCACGAGGAGAAATGTCTGTGTAGGGAACAGACCACTGGCAATATAATTGACTAGGAGAATAATGAAAACTAGGTAAGGAAGGGTAGCTGTTATGGCTTAATTCACATTTCAGGTTATGATCAGCCTTCCTCTGAGAATAAGTTGAATTCTCCCTCTCTGTTACCATATTCTTAATGAAAATAATACACCATATGAAATCTTTCTTTTCTAGGAAGAAAAGGTCAGCTTTTCTAAATATTTTGAATACCAAGTGAATTCAAACTCACCATTGCAAATGTACTGACAGTTGGTTTTTTTTCCTTCTTCTTACTAAAAAACACAGTAACAAAAACCAAATTGATTATAGAGCTTATATTTAATGACAACTAGAACAAAGAAACATATATATATGTATATATATATATATATATATACTATTCAAGACAAAGAAAGCTAATATTATGATATGATTTATGAAGGTTAAATATGAGTTTTCATCTATCTTACAAATTTATGTATTTACCAGAGTTAGGATTTTTTGTATTAATATTTTCATCCTTGTCACTTGGGTATTTCCTAATGTTCCAAGATGAAATCTCTCTCTTTCTCTCTCTACCATATACACACAGACACACATATATCTCTTGAAATGAGAAAAACAGAAACTAATAAAGATTGCTTTTCACATTTATCTTTCAGAAAATCATTCATACTTTCCAGAATTAAGATCATTGGATATTCTTTGTACTGCTAGATATTATTCTAAAACATTTCCTTTAGTAATTAGGTAGCAGTGACAACCAGGTCTTCCTCATTAGTAGCCTAAGAAACAAAGTAATTAAATCACCCTATGAACAAATCTAATTCTGAAAGGATAGAAGTCTGCTGTCCTAGGTGATCTTTGTGGAAATAAATGCAATCTAGAAAGCTATGTACAAAAAGAAATGTCCTTTAAATTGCCTATAAGCTATCATAAAAGGTCAATCTTTATTTTGAGTTTAACTTAGTATCCTGTGTTTTCCATGTGTAAGTGCTTCCTACAAAGGGAAAGCAAACTAACAATAACAAACCAGCCTTATTTTTTGAAGGAATGAAAAGCTTTAGAAAAAATACCATTACTTTGGAATAGGAATATATTTCAATTTAAAAAGCAAATTTAATATTTGTTTTTTTAACTTTAATGGGTCAAAAGAGGTAAGGAGATGTTTAAAGAAAAAAAAAAACAGAGTTAACTAGTATTTGGCTTTGGAGTGATGTTAAAGAGGCACAACTAAAAATCCTCAGGTTTGGTTCTACCCTCTTCTTAGTAAAGGCTCATTCAATATCCTTGAAATCAGGAAGAGAGGAGAGCAATAGCTATAAATAGTTGGTTTTAGCACTGAGCTTTTTATGTTCTAGTACAATGACACTATTTTGGAGAAGTTGTGATATTCTTGGCACTAAGTAGGTCTTCTTACAAATAATTTGTAAAAACTCGAAAGAGGGCACTTTTTTTGTCCTTTTAGAGAAAATAATAGAAGAACAAGAGAAATTGAGGAACATCTTAGGTTCTACCGCTGGAATAAAGCCACAGTTTCAACGACAATGTTTTTCCCCTGACCTCCAACCTGTAAGATAGTACCTCAGATTTCTAGATTAATTAATTCTAAGGAGCTGGGAATATTACTTATTGATAGGACACCTACTTAGTATTTTTGAGATTCTGGGTCCAATCCCAAGCACAATAAAGATAAAAAAATTATATCCATGAATCTTTGAAAAAATAATTTTATTTTAGAATGCAAATATAGATAGTCCAGGTAGTATTATTATCCCATTATGATTGAGTTAAACCAAATAAGCCTCCTTCTGATTTATTGTTAAGTTTTAAGATGAGTACACTTTAATAAACTATATAAATAAAATAAATAATCTGTAGTTTGAAGAAAAGTTTGTAGGATATTATAAAATCAATTTTTAAAAATGAAGGTACCTTTAGGATCAAAATTTTCTTTATCGTTTCTCTCTACAAAGCCTCAACACAAATATAATAATAATTTCAAGATAGTAATTTCAGAATTACGTTAAAATTTTAAAACTAAAAATAGTGTCTTCCATTTTGTGGTCTTTTTGTTTATTTGAAAACTTATTATTTGAGAATTTTCAAATACTCAGAAACTGAAACAATAATATGATTACCATGCAATTTACCTTTACTCATCATTGTGTGATGTTCATTGTGTGATTGTTCATTGTGTGCTCAATATTTAAGTTGTAAATATAAAAATCATGTATCACATCATTACTTCCTAACTATTTAACATTTTTATTATCCAAACTAGGTATGCCACGGAATACCTTATATAGTTGCTGGGTTTTTTTTTTAACTCTGATGTAGTCAAAATTCACACATTACATTTAGTGATTCTATCTCTCAGAAAGCCTCCTCTTTCTCTGATATTGACATTTTTGACGGGACAAAACCAATTGTCTGATTAGAATGTACAGTAAATATAAAATATTCATCAGAATGGAGTATTAGTGTGAAGATGGGAATGCAGACTCCATTATTAATAATTTTGACTACATGTAGAAATTATTATATTGGGATATACTATTTGATTTATTTTTCTAGATATTTTTATAAACTTTTTATGAATGTTGTATATTCAAGTTCCCTCACAGGCTGAGTAACATTATGAAATACTAAGCCAGACCACTTGGTTAGGATGCCAACTGCAAAATCTCTCACTAAGAACTCTGAAGATAATTATTAAATACAATTTTTCTCTGAATATTTTAAGGTCCATTGACAATCCATATTTATTTTCTCTAACTTTTGTATCCTCTTTGATTTTCTTTTCTTAATGGATATCAGTAAGGATTCATCAACTGCATTGTATTCAGTATCTCAAAATTAATTACAAGTGTTTTCTCTGACGTTCAAATTGTCCCTGAGTGGGCCAGCAGAAGTCCCCTCAAGCCTGTTTATATGTCTTTTGATGATTCAATTAAACGCCACTTCCTTACTTATACTCCTATGCTGGCTTTTATTTCCCCTGATCCAGACCTGTTTGATATTAACCATTTTTCTATGGGGTGCTTATTCCTTTCCCTGAGAAAAGGTCTTTGGAAACCAAGATCAACAACTAAGAATACTTGTATCTACTCCTCCATGTAGTGGACTGAAAAGAAAGTATTAAAACAAAATAAAACAAAACAAAAATCCAGAGCTGGACACAGGTAACTCACACTTGTAACCCTAGCTTACTCAGAGAGCTGAGTTCTGAAGATCCAGGTTCTAAGCCAGTCCTGGCAGACAAATCCAAGTTAATCTCCAATTAACCACTAAAAACCTGTAAGTGTGAGTTTGCTTCCAGCTGTAGAGCACCAGCCTTGAGTGAAAAAGTTAGACAAAAGCTTGAGGACCGCAGTTGACGTTCCCCTACCAGCAGAGTAGATATTGAAGTTTCCAATCCAAATTTAACAGGATTTGTGAGCAATTATTTGATATCTACATTGGTTTCTTTTTCTCACACACACCGAAGAACTTAGTTACTAACAATAATTATGAATCTGTTAATTTATATTGTTTCACAATTACGCTTATATTAAAATTTTGAACCAGCAAAGTTTAAATTTTCCTGTAAAGGACAGGCATTATGCTCAACATGAACAAAATAGTTTCTTTTTCTCTCTGTGGTTACACTACCACTTTTTTTTTTAATTGTGAAAATACTGTACAGAGGGTAACATTACATGGGCAAGATAATGAGTACATTTCTTATCAAGCATTGTAGCCTCCTCCTTTGTTTCTCCTTCCCATCCACACTACCAATTTTTATACGATGTCATTGCCACATCGTATAAAAGGTGAAAGACTACCAAAATGTAGTCTTAGCCTCTGATTCATTCATTTCACAAGAGTACAATGTTTATGTCGCTGTTTCTCAGGAGTATGTACTGGAACACAGAGTGGAACTCTAGCAACAAATAGCTCTGGTGTGTGGACAATCAGATATTGTTGGTAATACACAAGATAATAAAACAGCAAAGGATGTGCATAATGGCCTGCGGGGGGCCAGAAAGTCTGGATCCAGAAGAGCCTCATCAAGACAGAGGAGGGTGCAGAGCCTGTGCCCAACGCAGCCAATGAAACTGTTCTGGGCAGGGGACTGTTTCCAGTGGCTGGCTTACTTTTCTGAGGATGAAAATAACAACCACCACCCACTTTTATGTCAGAGCTGGAGCCAGAAAACCGTGTCCAAGCCAGGTAGACTGTGAAAGTGAAACAAGTGTCTACCTCTTTTTGTTGAGCTCTGAGTTCTTCCCTGCTCCATCGCTGTCTTTTGTGGAGTCCATGAGGACCTGAGGAGAAAGCACAAGCCATGAGCGAAATCCCCAGCCCCGCAGGGCAGCAGGCAGCCACAGGGGAGAGATCTCCACGCATCTGCCGCCTGCGCCCAGGGCAGTGAGTGAGTCAGGGCGCTACGTGTCTGCGATGCGCTCTGCCTGGGAGACGCACAGGCTTCCTTTCCTGGGCGCTGCGCCTTAGGCGCATCTACTTGGAAGGAGACGGAGGTTGTAGGTCAAGTTCAGGACCTCGTCTGTGGCACCGCAGCTCTGCGCTGCTGGGATTCCCCTCACCGCGGGAAGTTTCCTCCCTCCTGTCTGGGGTCTGACTTGCCGGCAGGCAGTGGATGCGCTCCAAGCACTGAGTCCGGGCGCTTGGAGAGCACGGAACACGGAGGCTGGAGGCTGCTCCCGGAGCAAGGGGCGTGACGCCAGGCCTCGCGCCCCTTGGTCCCCAAGGCCTGGCCAAAAGGGATCCTTCCCTCCCCCAGGACCCCTCCTCCCACGGGCATCACACCCGGACCCTGCAGAGCTTCACCCTTCTTCGGAACTGCGCGGTCCCGAACCCTGGTTTTTGTTGGCTCGTACCTCCAGTGTTTCTTTGGAATGTCCGCCGGGACGAGGATTTTGGGGAGAGGCTCGGAGTTCAGTGGGAAAGACCCGCGGTCACAAGCTGTGGATGCACTTCTGTGAGCTGGGAAAGCCGCTGCTGAAATGCGCCTCAGCTTCCTGTACCGGGAGGGGTAAAAGAAACTCATTCAACCCCCGTCAGGGGAAGTCTTGTCCAGCCAATCAGCCTGATGGTTCGGGATTGCCCTGGTTGAACTGAATGCTGATTGCTGGAGAAGTTGCGAAATAGGTTGGATATAAGAGGAATGTCCTTTTTTCCGTTGTCGCTCTGCAAAGGGCAAATAGAAGAAGGCAATTTTGCCTGAGTCATCAGGGACTGGTTTACTCGTAGAGATGGGGCTCTCCAGGTCTATTTCTTTGTTGCTTTGTATGTCCCTCCCCCCACAGTATAACCCCTACTTTCACTGTATTTGATGTCGGTATAATCTGTGGAGGGGAAGGGGAAAACAAATCGTTTAAATAGGGATACAGATGGACCCATAGCAACAATGAGATGTACAAGTCGTTATGTTGAAAACGAACTTTACAACTTTGGTGCGGGGGGGGGGGGGGGGCTGGGGAGAGGGGAGGATTGGGTGGGGGGGTATGGGAGGATGGGAAGGGATGGGAAGGGGAAACAAAGGAGGAGGCTACAATGCTTGGTAAGAAATGTACTCATTATCTTGCCCATGTAATTGTAACCCCTCTGTACAATATTTTCACAATAAAAATAAAATAAAATAAATAAATCCACAAATAGTGCATAGGTAGATACACAATTGACTCCCTAAGTATAGCAGTTAACTAAAACTTTCACTGGTTTCACATCTTAGTTTAAAAACATATTTCCACTTGTAGTATCTGTAAAAAGGCTGTGAGACATGTTTCTGCAACAGTCTTTCTTGGGTATGTGTATCAGTTTCTGGAGATTATGTTCATCTTCTCAAAATGATAAATTCATGGAAATAGAAAGGACCGTTGTTAATGTGTTAATAGATGGGCTTTTCAGGGTAGATGTGGTTTTCTATATTATAAAATTTCTATTTAATTGCTTGTTGTTGTTGTTTTTTATTTTGAGGCAGGTCTCATATTGTAGCTGAAGCTCCCCTTGAACTTACTATGTAGCCCAGGTTGGCTTCAAATTCATTATCATAACTTAGTCTCCACAGTGCTGGGATTACAGGTATATATTATCCACTTGGCTCAAAAATACCATTTCAAACCTTACAGTACTTTAAACTTTTAGTTGTCAAATTAATACCCATGATTTTCCCAGGGCATCTGAAATTCTTACATTTCAATATAAATTATTAAACATGTTTAGCATAATACATTAATTACACTTTTTGTATGTTTACTGCTAACAATATTTTTTTCATCCTGTGTCTTCAAATGACTAAAAGTAAATGAAATCTTCACCATTCAGATTCAACATTAATTTGTGTAACTCAACATAAGAGCTTTTCACATTTCTTAAGAACACAGCCTTCTCAGTTACATACACTCTCACCTTACCTAAACATTCAAAACACCTTATGTTTTATTTTGTTGCATACTGCAAAGACATTTTCTCTATTCTATTTTTTTTTTTTGTCGGTCGTGGGGCTTGAACTCTGGGCCTGGGCGCTGTCCCTCAGCTCTTCAGCTCAAGGCTAGCGCTCTACCACTTGAGCTACAGCGCCACTTCCGGTTTTCTGATAGTTTATTGGAGATAGGAGTCTCACGGTCTCTCCTGCCCAGGCTGGCTTTGAACCCAGATTCTCAGATCTCAGCCTCCTGAGTAGCTAGGATTACAGGCGTGAGCCACCAGCGCCCGGCGTTTTCTCTATTCTTTAAAGAATAACACACTTCAAAACTATAATTTTTTTCTTTTCTTCATTACAAATTTTCTTTACATTGGTGCTTTTTTCTTGGCAATATGATTAGGGAGTCATTGATGGCTACTAATTGTTCATTAGTCTTTCTAATGAGATATTAAATTTTCTCTGTTCTAACTCATGCATGTATATAACACTGATTCATTGGTTTAACACCAACTATATGGTCTGCCTGGGACAAATAGAAGCTTTCACTTCTATCACATGCATTTTTACTCTTTTCTTCCTACTTTTATTCTGTTTCTACTTTTATATTATGTATACATGTTATGTATATTCTGTACATAATATATGTTCATATATAATATATGTTAATATATGTATATTCACATATTGTGTATATATGTATATACATATAAATGTATATATAGGTATATAAATGTATATATTTACATATTTTTGTAAATATATATAAATGTGTATATATAAATGTGTATACATTTACATAAATATGTATTACATATTTATGTAAATGTATACACATTTATATGCATATACATATATACATATATTATATATGTAATTATACATATGTAAGTATATACATATAATACATATATACATAATATATGTATACATTAACATGTTGTGTACATAATATACATTATATATGCATATGTATTGTGTATATAACATACATAATATGTATTCATATATATGTATGCACTCTTGTTAGGCCTTTATATCTTTGTAAGTGATCTCAACTCCTCCTTAAAATTGTACAAGACATAAAAAGTACAATGATTATTTTTTTTCTATTACCTTAAGTTTCAAGTGAAAAGCATCCCTGAGGAATGTGAGGTTAAAAACCAGCTAAGGCATTTTTTAGTGATACTATGAGAGTTTCATTTTATTGAAAATGTAGATATAACACTTGATGATTGAAAGCAATAGATCATCTCTTGTTCTTGACATATTTAAAGACACCAGTCTTTACTAGTGCCTTCTATCCCCACTAAACTGGACTTGGTTTTTACTTGAACTTAGTTTACCATGGAATTCAGTCATCCATTTTCCAAATTATCATGTACATCTTCATTTAAACATCTATTTCTATTTCCCTTTCACCCTTAGAAGTAATTTAACCAATTTTGTAAACTCTCCCCACATAAAAGACTATGTTCCTGCTACATTCTGTCTTGAACATGCATGTAATGATGATGGTGTCTTTTATTAAATGACAGAGAAACTGCCCCAATCAACTTATGCAATCCTCATAAGAACTCTATGAGATGTGTTTACTGCTATTGTTATTCCAATTTACAATGGAATAAACTGAAGTTTTACACCATTGGAATTAAGTCACAGGGTCAGTAAGCATTTCACTCAGACTTGAAAGTAGAACACCAATCATAACTATATTCTTCACCACTACACTACACTATGATACACAACTGTAGTGCACTACCATACTGCCTCTTTGAGCCCCATGAGAGGTTGTCCTATTATTCTACCCTTAGAAAAGCTCATATGACTTCCTGCCACTTACTATATCATCTTTGAGAGTTTACACTTAGCTTTTAAGAACTCTAGCAGGTTACTTCTCTCTAACCACTTAACTTCTTTATACCATCTCTCCAATACATACATGTTCATTCATTTTAGCCAAACTCTTTATACATCTCAGATGACTGAGTTTCTCCCCACTCTTTTCCCCCACACCTCCCATGTACATCTTTAAATAATTTCGAGCCTCCATTACACAGTGTGAGCTCCAGACAACTATCTCTGTTCTGTTTGAGTGTTCTGGGTGAGGTTAAACACTTACTTTTTTGTCCCTCAGCTATCTCTTTAGTAAATAATAGATAATAATGTTCCTTATATAGATATTGCAAAACACAAGTGAAATGTGTATCTAAAAGTCTTATTCAGTACCCCAAACACACTGAACAGGAGACAAATGGCTCTTTGAAAGGAATAAAACTTCCTTTTAGATCTATTTATGTTTTTACTTGGCATTCTTTAGCACTCTTTTGCATAGCTACATTTATTGATCCCTAAATGTTTGACCCATTATTCTGACTACTACTACAGAACTCAGAAAGACTGATCTACTTTCAACATCATAGAAGTATATAAAGTCCATAACTATGCAAGAAAACAGCAACTCATAGTACCACTTCACATTTGTGTAGCCACTTCTCTGACCATTGGTTACCATGAGTATTACAATAGTTTTTCTCTGATTCTAGCTTTACTCTCTCTAATAGCTTTCCTGGTTCTTCTGTCAGGATCTTCTCTAGTGTAAAGCAAATGAACTCATGTCACTCTCTGTCCCATGGTTTCCTTCCTAACTCAGTGCAAAATCCAAAGTCCTCTTCATCGTGTGTAATCCCTGAGTGATCCAGTGTCTCTGACCTCTCACCTCACTTGCGGTTACTGCTTCCTTTATTAATATGTTCCAGTCACACCAGTCTTTTTTTTTTTTTGTATTCTAGTCCTTTATGCTTCCAGTGTACTCCCATCTCAAGCCATTGGCTCTTATTCTGACTTGGATTAAAACTTCTCCCACTTAAGTGAACTGTATAGTGTGAGTCATTTCTTCATTATTCAAATGTCCTGCTCTCTTATTCATTGCATTTAGAAACAGTGTCCTATACATAGATTGTGCTCAATGAATGTTACATAAAACAATGGGAAAAATGAAGAAATAGGCTAACTCAGTAAAATGTGAGCTAAGTGTAAAATTATGAAGAGGCACCTAAGGTTTAAGAGAACCTGTTTCTTATTTTTACACTGTGGAATTTTCTAATTTAAGTGAAGTTATGCTTATCAGTATGTCTCTCCAAACATCTGGATTTAAGTTTAAGTCAACATCCCAACATTTGCTAGGAGCCTGCCTTATGCTGTACACTACACCAAATTATAGTGATATGTAATTCAGATGTTATATTCTGCCCATAGGGGAGTTCTAGATTACTTGTAATAATTCTGCTGTACCAACAGTCATGGTGGCTAGGATTGTGTTTTATTTTTCTTTTGTATAATAATTTTTTACAGTGTTTTCCATTAGTAGAGATTCCATAAATATTGTCAGACCAGTTGTCTTATTTTCTTTGAAAGTATTTGACTTCCAAAATAACATTAACCTCTACTGAAACACTTCCTACTCTACCCTGAGTAAAACTATATGCAAAGATCTACCAAATAACTTGATCCACAATATAAAGAGGTTTTTTTTCCATGTAAGTCAACAAACAGTGAAGTTCTGTTATTGAGATATTAGTTATCAGAGTCAGAAGACCCATAGTGTTTTTGTTGTACTCATTATTCCTCTTTATCTTATAGCCTCTCAAACAATACACATAATGCATCTGTTATTTTTCCTATCTTGTCCATGCTGGCTTTGAACTCATGATCTCACTG